CAAGCCAACAAACTATTTACCGTACCACTTGAACTTCCATCACCAATCAACAACTGTTAAATTTGATATATTTTTATCCATATCTACATATCCAAATATATCTTTGTAAGATGGAAAGTCTGTCATGAATTTATTCCTAATCGTATAATCCCTATCTCTACTAAAATGTTATATCCCATGAGCTACGGTTCTACACATTTGCTAAATTGTACAAGACACATATACCGTGCTGATATATATAATGCAAGCATAGGACGTGCATCAAAAGAAGAGAAAGTTGAACTTTAGATTGGACAAGAACATATATAGAACTTCAAATGGAAATTAATAAATAGAATACAATACAAGTTCTTAAAAGGAAAGCTATTTTTTTTTTACCCCGCCAACCAAAAGGAGAATAGGAAAGTGGGAGAAGGTGGGATGTGAAATAATCTTCAATATATTCTTAAAGATTAATTAAAGTGAATGATTAAGCTTAAGGGAATCATTATCGTTACAAAAAAAAGCTTAAGGGAATAATTATGATTGCAATGTAAGAATATCACCAAAACTTGGGCTGAATAAATTGGACCGCTGACTTTTCTTCCTGCTTCTAGCCTTCTAGATGCTTTTTTAAACTTCTTTTGCTCTTCTATATAAGATTTCTCCATATTTTAACCTAAAAACAAAAACATAAAACGTATTTAACCACGTAGAACCCACAACTACTGTTGTTTTTATAGATTACTATAGTTGTTGGAGTTGGACCCATCGAAACACAAATATATCACGAGAAATCATAAGATTCATCAGCTCTATTTCAATATCTTGCGGGAGTTCTACAATTTGGATTTAAAAATAGAATAAAATACGATATATATTATTAAGACTAACGAGTCCTCTCTTTTCATTTCTATATGTTAATTCATACACGAGTAATTGCGATTGAGGAGGCTAAAAAATTAGTCGGGAATTTGTCTACCTACGGACTTGATTGATCTAGACTAAAGATATATGCAATAGAATAGGGTAATGCTAATAGAAAAATATAAAAAAATTCAAAACCTCTTGTAGTACATCTCTTCTAATATAATTGGCTATCACACTTGCAATTTTTACGAAATACAATTTGAATAATGATCGACGAGGTGACACAAGAGTAGGTGAAATGTAAATCTTCAACAAATATATGATTAGAAGGTGTATGATTTATATTCCCTCAAAGTTTGCAAAAGTTCCACGTTATAATATTTATCAGGTCCCGCAGATCTTATGGCAAGTGGATACTTCGAAAAAGTTTGGGTACAACCACAAAAGTTTATTTGAAGATTTCACCAAAAGCAAAAGAAGAAAAAGAAGAGAAAAAGAAAGGAAAAAGAAACACATTTGAGAATAAATATAGTAGAGGAAAGTTTTCGTTTGGAGTATTAATATTTGTATTTTATGATGTGATAAGAAGATAAACATGGATCTATAATCTATTAATGTGCCTTAATTAATCCAATACATGAAACAGAAAAAATAGAAAATGGTTAGTCATATATATATATATATATTGTACATAATGTTTTATAGATCATGTGATTCATGTCTATTGCTGCAACTCCCTTGTTATTCACTTACTCTTACATGGTGTCTTCTAAACACTGAGTCATTCATTGATTCCTTTTTTTTTTGGTTAAAGCAATCCAGTGATTCTGTTTTTTTTTTTTTTTTGGTTAAAGCAATTCACTGATTTGAGAAAATGGAATGACAAGTTTATGTAATTCACGGTATACATGTAACTGTGGTTAACCAAAGCTAACCAACCACAATTAGAACCGTACTATGATAAACAAAAAAAAAAAGAAAAACACCAGCTTTGAGAAGAAAAAAAAATATATCTTCCAATCCAAAATATTGGTTTCATCTGTATCATGAAACTATTTATTCAAACCAAAATGTCTATTAGTAAATGAACCTATCTTTTATGATTACTTTATACGAAAATGTGTAAATATTGGTGTGGAGAATTCAAAACATATATTAGCAATGCAACCTTGTTGATTTTGTATAAATTGTGCTATTTAAGTCACTCGATTTTGGAACCACAAAAAAAAAAAAAAAGAGACAGTTCAGAGCAAATACATGAAGCGTGGGATTGAATGTATATAGAAGAATGAGTCCATAAGATGAAGGGTGTCCAACTACTCCTAATAACCGTTACTCTTAACGGTTACAAAATTTGCAATGCTTCTCATGTGATCCCTACACTCCATACAAAGGCCAAATTACACTCACACAAATCTTGCGCGCACATCAATTTTTTTTTTTTTTTAAATTACTCAGTCTTTTCTTTTCAGCTTTTCTGATAAAATAATACCAAACCGAAATAAAGTTAGAGTATTGAATTATGGCCAACCTCTTAATGTTCTAAAGTACGTTATACATTAGTTGTACGACACTATATAGACATATAGTGTATAGAAGTATAAATAGTACTGAAAAAAAATAGAATACTACTGAATCTTTATGATGTATATGTATATACACTATTTTAAACCGTGTATTTTAGGACAATAGACAATATCTTACGAGTAATGATCTGTGGATTATTTACCCCTTCTTGCAAAAAAAATATGATCTGTGTATAAAAATGAGAAAAAAAAAAGAAGAAGAAGATAAAAACAGGTACATTATTAATTAGTTGAATCTCGTGTTTTGCTTTGGTAAAAACAGACATCGAGATTGCATGCCGTTTCTTTGGTTTCAGCAGTCCCTATGAATGAATGATAAGACACCGACACGATGTTTCGAACTTTTGGCTCTGTCTCGGGAATACACTCTTTTCTGATTTTCTCTCTTTTCTTTTCATTTTTCTCGTTTTCCTTATCTTATCGATTTATTCACCTCTCTTTTTTTGGACAGACTTAAATTATTTGGTTGTTAAAGTAGTAATGATCAATTTTTGTAGAGAATATATGTTGATAGTATTTTGTTTGTTACAAAATCTGAAAGCTTTTTGTTGAAGTCTTTGACCCAGTGGTTAAAGAAGTGTTAAAGACTATGTCTCTACGTAACAGTCTAATATCTTTTAGGTTCAATTTGCACCACTTTCTTGGCCTTAGATTGAAATGTAGTTTCCGTCTTAATATGGGTTTCTTTAGTTTTGGCAAGAGCTGACAAACATTTTTTATGGGTTTGTCTAAAGAAAATGCAACAAAAAAAGGAAGAAGATTGAGAATCTAGTAGTACTAAATAAAAATGAATGTGATAATTAATGCTAACAGATTAAAGAAAATAAATGCCAATAAAAGTCCACGATTCTATGATAATGAATAATGATGCTGTTCTTTTCGTCCATTACTTCAACCGCACGCTAAGAGTATCACACTCCCGATGTTCGGCTTATGTTTTCTGTAAGGTTAATTACGATTTATGTAGTAACCGAAACTTTAAAAACTGAAATTATTTAGTCTTTGCATAAATATTTTCTGTAGTACTAGCTAGTAGATTTTATGTAGGTGAAGGTTTAGAGGTTGCAATTTCTTTTCTTTAATATAGAATAATATAGATTTTGGATTTAAGATGACATAACTTGTCACAAAAATTTTCAAATAAAAAACTATGAAGACACACAATTTAAATTACATGTCAGATTTTCGTATTTTATAAGGTGGTCATATAATCCATCATAAACGTTAAGAGTTTTGTTAAAATTACCCATATAGTAATTGACAAAAAAAAAGGTATGATAAAGACATATTTGAGTATGCCAGAGTAATATGGATTATTTGGTGGTGGTTCAACATCAAATTTCTTTGGACGTGGGATGAAAAATATGATAATGTTATCTTATGTAGGGCCTGCGTTAGAAAACATAATAGTTTTGAGTTGCATATAGGACAAAATAAATTTGGACTGCAACAAATGAAAAGAGAAATTGGAGTGTGTTTTGAGGGACTTTTGAGATTGGCACTATTGGCATACTGTGTTTTTTATTAGTTACTCAACTAAATACTACTCCACATATTATTAACTGTCGGCTTATCATCAGTTTGATCTAACTCTTTGTTTCCTTCTAGTTTAATGCAAATGAACTTATTTCATGTTTGCTTGTTCATAAATCAGGAAATAATGAGTCGTATTCATTACTATATAGGACACAGACACAATTACAAAATAACAAATCTGATATATACCACATTTATTATTTATGCAAGTCGTTGTTGGGAAAAATTGAACCATTTAATGTCTATCATAAAGTTTACTGCAAGATCTAAATTAGTAGGTATATTAAATACGCAGCAATGATTTGGTTATTTTTTGAATTGAGGAAAGCCTACAGGATTAACACATGTATTGGCTGGTTTTTTAGTCCTAGTATTTTCCTTAAAAACTCTAGTTTTAACAAGTTTTTTTTTTGGCAGTAAACGTATGTGTATGTTTAATAGATATTCCTTTCTCAACATTGTTTTATCCCTAAGATTAGCAAAATTGATTGTTGACCCTCGACTCTCACTGAATGTTTCCACAGGCTATTATTCGTATATTAGGTCATATTATCTGACAAAAAGGTTAAAAAAAAACAAAAAGTAGAATATAATTAAATTATATCTATTAGGGGTTTATGGTCCAGTTTTTAAGATAAAATATATTAAAAAATAATAAAAAAGTAGAAATTCATGGTTCAGTCTCTTCTCGACGAATCTAAAGAGACAATATCTTCTACACCTGTCACGTTTTTATTGATCAAAAAGAATAATTTTGAATAAAAAAAATAAAACAAAAAAAATTATTATATCTACTAAGAGCATCCTCAATGCAGAGACCCATATGAGTCTCTGATTCATTAGTTTAATATTATTTGAGCATAAAGTTGAATCAAAAACTATTTTTAGAGGCCTTCATTTCGGGGTAGTTCAATACTAAAAATCTATTAGGTTTATTATATAAAAAAAATTATTTGTTACAAAAATAAAAAATAAATTTGTATTAAAAATGCTCAATGCTCAACTGTTAAGTAAACTAGAGGAGAAGGATAAAGACAGAATATGATATATACGAAGTAAAACGATTGTTATTGTGTCAAAGATGAACTGGTTTTTTGAGACAAATAACCCATATTGATAACCAAATCACATCATGCAATCCATATGAAAAGAAATTTAGCTGCTAGCTAGCGTTCGAACTGATGATCATATCCCAAGCTGTTGGATCAGAGGCTTACACGTTTGTGCAATCTGATGAGGAGGAGAAAACGAAGCCAGCCAATGTTACAAAACTAGCATATAACTTAGAGACAAAAGAGGAGTTTCATGGAAGAGAAATACTTACAAGAAGCACGTTGATGACTGGGAGAGATAATCAAACTTACAAACGCTTCATCAACCAAAATAGAGGGAAATTTCAGAAAGAAACCACATTGATGATTAGAAAAAAAAAATGATTGCTTCTTAGAGCCTCGCCAGTTCATTGACAAACCTTTAATTCCAAAGATGTTTGGCCTGATCTAACAGCTGTTAGGGCATGTTCTATCTGAACCAGCTAAACTTAAAACCACAGAACATCTAATAGTCCACACACTGATTTTCACCCACATAAACCCAACTCATAGAACAACTTAAATCAACGAAATTACGTCTTCGCAAGTACATAAAAAACAAGATAACAATCCGAATTAGGAATCACAAGGGAATCAAATTTAACTCAACGATCAGCTCTAGATCAAAACTGGAGACACAAATTGACACATAAAGGAGTCGTCGGAGAACTGCGCACGGTCGGAGAAGCCGTGGAAGCCATCGGATAAGAGAAGTTGCGGAGATAAATCACGTACAGACGGACAATCGATCGGAGAAGCTGCGGTCCTGCGGAGACGAACGGAGTTTCAATCGTTTTTCGATAAGAAGAGAGGAGAATGGGAAGATAGGAAAAGACGGGAAACGAAAAGAAAACAGAAGGGAAAAAATTTTCTCCCAATTCCTTTAGCAAATGAGAGCGTGCCACGTGTGGGAAGAAACGTTTTTCAAAGTCGCGAAATAAAAACGTTTCACAATTTTTTATTAATTGGTTTCTGTTAAAAACGCAGCATATCTCTACGTTAATGACGCTCTAAGTTTCTGAAAGAAAAATTCACTGATATACATGCTATTAGGGAAACAATGAATGTATGTTTCCATAGTCTATGATCATTATTTTGTAACACATTCTCTTGTATGATCATTAATCCTACAACATAGAAACAGGCAATAATTATCATCTGTGTTGAAAACTAGACATGGAATAAAAAAGATTGGATATAGAAAGAAAAAAAAAAACTGAATGATACTAGAAACAATGATTTTGGCATTCACAGTCAGAGTCACGATAATTCACCTGTCTCCGGTCAACGCTTTTTAGACTCTCTTATTATTCTCCCTTCAACACACTCTTCAAGTCTTATCTCACTCTCTCTCTCTTTCTCTCTCTCTCTCCTCAACACAACCACCGTAGCATCGCCGCCACGGCCAAACTCCGAGAAGATGAGAAAGAAGATGTTTCTTCTCTTTCTCTTCCTCCTTTTTCCCGCCGTTTTCTCCTTAAACCAAGAAGGCTTTATTCTTCAGCAGGTCAAGCTCTCTCTAGACGACCCAGACTCTTCCCTCTCCTCCTGGAATTCCCGTGATCTCTCTCCTTGTCGGTGGTCCGGTATCTCCTGCGCCGGAGATTTCTCGTCTGTCACTTCCGTCGACCTCTCCGGCTTCAATCTCGCTGGACCTTTCCCTTCCGCCATTTGCCGTCTCTCTAATCTCTCCTATCTCTCCTTGTACAATAACTCAATCAACTCCACGCTTCCTCTCGACATCGGAGCTTGCAAGAGTCTCCGGACTCTCGATCTCTCCCAGAATCTCCTCACCGGTGAGATTCCACACACCCTTGCGGATCTCCCCATCTTGACGTCACTCGATTTGACCGGAAACAACTTTTCCGGCGACATTCCGGCGAGTTTCGGCCGGTTTGAAAACCTCGAGGTTCTTGCTCTCGTCTACAATCTCTTGGACGGCACGATTCCGCCGTTTCTAGGAAACATCAGCTCCCTGAAGATGCTGAACCTTTCCTACAATCCGTTTACTCCGAGTCGGATCCCGCCGGAGCTCGGAAACCTGACGAATCTTGAGGTTATGTGGCTCACCGAGTGCCACTTAATCGGACAGATCCCTGACTCGCTGGGTCGACTCAGCCGACTCGTTGATTTAGACCTTGCGCTCAACGACCTGGTTGGTCCTATCCCTCGTTCTCTCGGCGGCTTGACCAGCGTCGTCCAGATTGAGCTCTACAACAACTCGTTGACCGGAGAGATTCCGCCGGAGCTCGGGAATTTGAAATCCCTGAGACTTCTCGACGCGTCGATGAATCAGTTAACCGGTTCGATACCGGACGAGCTCTGCCGTGTCCCATTGGAGAGTTTGAATCTCTACGAGAACAATCTCGAAGGCGAGATTCCTCCGAGCATAGCTTCATCTCCGAACTTGTACGAGCTCAGGATCTTCGGAAACCGCTTCACCGGCGAATTGCCCAGAGACCTCGGCCGAAACTCGCCGCTGAAATGGCTGGATGTTTCGGAAAACGAATTCTCAGGCGAATTGCCGGCGGATCTGTGCGGGAAAGGGGAGCTAGAGGAGTTGCTGATCATACACAACTCCTTCTCCGGCGCTATACCGGAGAGTCTTGGAGATTGCCGGAGCTTAACACGTGTCCGGTTAGCGTATAACCGGTTTTCCGGTCAAGTTCCTACCGGTTTCTGGGGATTGCCACACGTTTACTTGCTTGAGCTCATCAACAACTCGTTCTCCGGTGAAATTTCGAATTCCATAGGAGGCGCATCGAACCTCTCGCTGTTGATTCTCACCAACAATCAGTTCACCGGATCTTTGCCGGAGGAAATTGGATCTTTGAACAACCTTAATGAGTTGTCGGCAAGCGGAAACAAGCTCAGTGGCTCCTTGCCTGATAGCTTGATGAATCTCGGGGAATTAGGTACTCTTGATCTTCACGGAAACCGGTTTTCAGGGGAGTTATCTCCCAAAATCAAATCGTGGAAGAAGCTAAACGAGTTAAACTTGGCAGATAACCAATTCTCCGGTAGAATTCCAGATGAGATCGGGAGTTTATCAGTCTTGAACTATCTTGATCTTTCCGGTAATCTCTTCTCCGGCAAAATCCCGGTTTCATTGCAGAGTCTGAAGCTAAACCAGCTGAATCTGTCGACTAACCGGTTAACAGGTGACCTCCCGCCTTCTTTAGCTAAAGAGATGTACAAGAACAGCTTCCTAGGCAACCCGGGTTTGTGCGGGGATATTAAAGGATTGTGTGGCTCCGAGAATGAAGCTAAGAACAAAGGCTATTTATGGCTTCTCAGATCGATTTTCATACTTGCTGCGATGGTGTTTGTTGCCGGCATTGCATGGTTCTACTTCAAGTACACGACTTTCAAGAAAGCAAGAGCCATGGAGAGATCCAAGTGGACTCTAATGTCGTTCCACAAACTCGGATTCAGCGAGCACGAGATCCTCGAGAGCTTGGATGAAGACAACGTGATCGGAGCTGGAGCTTCTGGTAAAGTGTACAAGGTTGTACTCACAAATGGAGAAACCGTTGCGGTGAAACGTTTATGGACAGGATCTGTGAAAGAAACAGGAGATTGCGATCCAGAGAAAGGTGGCAGACCTGGTGTCAAAGACGAGGCCTTTGAGGCTGAAGTCGAAACATTGGGTAAGATTAGGCATAAGAACATTGTGAAGCTATGGTGTTGCTGCACCACAAGAGACTGCAAGCTCTTGGTTTACGAGTACATGCCTAATGGTAGCTTGGGAGATTTGCTTCATAGCAGTAAAGGAGGAATGTTGGGATGGGAAACGAGATTTAAGATTATCTTAGATGCAGCTGAAGGGCTTTCTTATCTTCACCATGACTGTGTTCCTCCGATTGTGCACAGAGATGTTAAGTCTAACAATATTTTGATCGATGGAGATTATGGTGCAAGAGTTGCTGATTTTGGTGTGGCTAAAGTCGTTGACATGACCGGAAAAGCTCCAAAGTCAATGTCTGTGATCGCTGGCTCATGCGGCTATATCGCACCAGGTTAGTCTTAAATGTGGTTGATTAACATAATTAGTATTTGCTTAAAGGAAAAGATTCACATGAACACCATTTGAGAATTATTAGTTGGGAGACTTAAATGAGCATTCACTATCTATTGAGACACTTCTCACTGCTCCATTAATGTATTTGAAAGTTATTTTGTTTGTTTCCCTCCATAACTCTTAATCTCAACCCTACTTGCAGAATACGCATACACGCTTCGTGTGAACGAGAAGAGCGACATTTACAGTTTCGGGGTAGTGATCCTTGAGATAGTGACTAGGAAACGCCCGGTTGCTCCGGAATTGGGAGAGAAGGATTTGGTGAAATGGGTTTGCACGACGTTGGACCAGAAAGGCGTAGAGCATGTGATAGACCCGAAACTCGACTCTTGTTTCAAAGAAGAGATAAGCAAAATCCTCAACATTGGGCTACTCTGCACGAGTCCGTTGCCTATTAACCGACCTTCCATGAGACGTGTGGTTAAGATGTTGCAGGAAATTGCCGGTGGAGACGAAGAGAGCCAAAACAAGACGAGAGCCGATAAGGATGGCAAGTTAACACCTTACTACAACGAAGAAACCTCAGACCAGGGAAGTGTAGCGTGAGACATCGATCACAAGTGAAACTGAGAAAAAAAGGAACAAGTCTAGTTTGTTTTTGCATGCCCCCAAAAGCTCTCAATTTTTGGTGCTTGAAGCTGCGAATTTAGGGCATTGAATCAAGATCCTCCTCCCCTTTTCTCAAGGGTTTTGGTGTAAAAGTGAGAATCAGAGAATGTTGAATTTCTATAATATATATAAAAAAGGTTTCCAAATCAAGAATTGGTGCTTCAGTCTCCACTGTAAAGCTATATCAGTAACCCTGGTTTCGTAAGAGTTTAATTTATTGGTAAATGCAAATGAAAATGCCAACTTCTGGCGCTAACATGCATTTAAATAGTTACCAAATTTGGGTAAACAGATTCTGCGTTCTTGTAGGAACATGTCTGAATCTTTAAAGCGTGGGCTCTCTCGTTTTTAGTGAACTGTTGGAGGCTCGTGTATGTGACTGTAGATTCACATGGCTCTTAAATTCTCAACTTTTCCAAAGTACTAGTAATAACTAATATGTTAACAATTTTTATTTTATTTTTATTTCAGGTTGTGTTATTATTTCCTTTACTTACTTTCCGTACAATAGGGCTTCAGATGTAATAAGACTTGGCACAATCACATGAGATGACTAAACATCAACTTTCCTGCGAGAAAGGTTTCTTCTAAGGTTACTTGTTCAAATCTTATTGGTTTTCCATTAAGTAATCATAATTAAGATACAAAAAAACATATATTACATACTAAGTAAGTACACACAACGTATGCTTTTTATTGTTTTTCCATTAAGTCATCATAATTAAGAAACAAAAAATCATAGATTACATATTAAATAAGTACACACAACGTATGCTTGATCTTGATATATCTTTATTTGAAACAGATGATGATCATTGCGAAGTGCAAACCCTTGGCCTTGACCAAAAAATTAAGACAAAGATTAATCGTTAGAGTACGAGAGCTATTTTACAAAAGAATGATATATACCCCAATAAAAAAAAGTGGTGAAGTCATCTAAACCAACCGGTGTTCGTTAGGGAACGTTGAGCTTCCTAACTGCAATTAGTATGCTCTTAATAATGATATTACAAAAGTAAAGATAACTTCAATTGTTGAGTACAAAAAAAACAAAAAAAACATTGACATCTCACCATTTACCTATGCTTTTATCTTAGTGGATAATCCACATATGGTAATTTAAGATACATATCAATAGGTAAAAGAATCTAAATATGAGCTGTTGGGTGAGGAAACTAGAAGTGGGCCCAATAAGCATTGAAGCCCACATTGAAAGTATCATTCATTTAAAGGGACATTGACACCTCACCCTCATCTTTGCCTTGTCTCTCTGTCTCTTTCACTCACTTCCCTTTCTAAATCATTTCTCAATTTTGTTTTCTATCTTTCTCTCTCTCTTTTGCATTTCCTTTTTGTTATTTGTCAACATGTTGCATGATGAGATCTATTTGAGGTTCTACATTATTTGTTGTTGATTTTTTGCTTCTAGAAAACAATTTTCACTCTTCCATTTGATTTTGATATTTTTGGTGAATTTTCCTTTGTTGTTAATATACGAACGATGCAATAAAGCAACTTCTAAAACCAAAACGAAGCAACTTCTCTCGTTCTAATAACTTTTGTATTGTCTAAATGGTTAGTAATCCGAATAAGAAAAGAAGTATACAGTTTTGAATATTAAAAAAATTTATAAGAGACGAAAAAACTTATAAAATGGGAAGCATAGTAGGGGACCAGAGTTCAATAGATAAGGTCAGGATTGCGAAATGATCACAAACATATGAGTAATTGAGTATAATGACCCACAGGCACACGGTACACACTCACACCTTGGGCCATGTTGCTTTTAAATGGGCCTATCGGACCCACATTGTTATTTTACCACATTTTGACAAATCTTACACATCAACTACTATATTTAGTCAAAAGCCCATTAGACGAATTTGGAGAAGAGTAAGTGTATCTCATTTATAAAAGATGATTTTGCCGGATAATTTCTTCATCATCTTGCTGAAGTATAAACCTTTAATTTTTTATACTCTTTTACTCCCAATTGAACTTTCGTTTGGTGTTTTTTTGCTTTCCCTTTTGGCTGAGATAAAAATTTGGTGATGGTTGTTTAAGCAATTTTTTTAACCGGTTCTTAGCTGGTCGAAAAAAAAAACAGTTCTATAAAAATGTAAGGAGAATGAAGAGATAATCAACGAATTTTAGCTCGTAACCGTTGTAATAATGTCAGTTGTTTGTTCGATAGATGGTAAAAAATTCTTGCTCTGAGTATGTCCAGTTACGTTCTGTAATGACTTCGTCAGTGAATAGGATCTCTCATCGGCGCATAGTGATATGATACCTTCACATGTGACAATGAACTTGTAAGTCGCGAAGATCTCGCCGGTAGCTATAAGCTATGGCCTCGGCATCAATGATAGTCCTTCGACTTCCTATCCGGACTTAACCGAGAATGAATTTAACTTTTTCCATCAGTTGATAAGACTTAGATAGAATTTGATATCTCATATATTGTAAACTGTATTATTTCGGTTTAGTTTACCAAACAGTTTGTTCAATATATAAGTTTTTAAATTGACAAAAAACAATATCTAAGAAGTCTATAATAATTTGAAAGCTTTCTCAGTAAGCTTATTAATTAATGATCTTCTGTTTGTTTCGTTTTCTTTCATTATTTTTGTTCCGGCTGAGATTACTAGTTAGTTGGTATAGAGTTTCGTTTTGAAGAAGCTTCGCATCTCCATCGAGGATCATGTGTACGGACTGACTGTTTATATAAGACAACCTAAAGAGGATTCTCATAGCATTATTTGACTCCATTAAACATCTTTAATCGATATTATATATATATTACGGCCATTCTAAAAATTTATAGATTTTCTTACAAGTTCATGTGAAGAAGAAATTCAATATTAGGATTATATATATACCTTTTGGTGAGGAATCTGCTGTCAAGGAGCCAAAAAAGAAAATTTTGGGTATAAGTTACTTGCTATACACGAGAGTTTGTTCTGTGCGTGAAGATATGGTCTTTATTTTTAGCTACACCAAGTAGGTCCAACATGTATATATATATATATATAGGTTAAATTGTTGATATTTGATTTTCTAGGATCCAACATTTTTATGTAAATTATCATTATATAGCTGAATTATATATACACGTGATAATATTGATAGTCTAAATTAAAATGTTCCCAAAACAAAAATTGATAGTCTAGCCATTGCAAGTTCACCCGACCTTGTCCTTGGATTTTTTGTTGTGAATCTATTATATAAAAGTTGGGTTGTGTCTCACAATCTTGACACATCAGCATTTTTCTATGTAACTGATTCTGACAATAAAAATCTGATATTTTAAAATTTAAATAATAATTAATTATATTACAATTAATCGTAAGACATTTATGAGTTTTGGAACTCATTTCATGTCTTTACTACTACCAAATTCCTCTTTGATTCATCAGTCAGAATTTCAATCGGAATTTAAATGGCAAAACCGAAAATCAAGTTTTAAAATTTCACTGAGATTATAAAGAGTTTGTAAGTGAAGGAAGTAAATGTGATCATGGCTTTGGCTTCAAAAGGTGGTGATTGCTATCTTAAGATATTGGAGAAGATTTGAAAAAAAAAAAATATTGGAGAAGGAAAGTCGCACAAAAAATTAGTTAGGGGTTTATGAAGGATTAGGAGTTAGGATCACAATATGATCACCTTTTGTATTCATTATCTAAGTTTTTTGTTATAACATAATTTAGGCAGTGTGTTATTAAAAGATTTCATATTTAGATAGAAATAGAATGTAGTTCCCATAAGGCCATAATTCTTTCTACGCTCGATTCTTGGGGTGCAAGATTTCTGAAAGAACAATAGGTAAGACTAGATCTTTACGTAATTTTAGAAGTTATAAAAAGATATTTGTACTTTCTTAAATGTGATATGGCGATGTGTACTTTGCATGGATGTAAATGTTTTTTTTTTGTGTGCTAACTGTTAACATATAAAAAAAGTCAGAAAGTCTCCTGCAGTTTAAGCTGATCATCTAAATTTCATGTGCATAATATAAAACCTCCAATTAAGTGATCATATAACTTAAGCTAGAAAACATTAATTATTTTCTTTTTATTTTTTAATATGTGGTCGATTACAACCGAGACTAATTGGAAATTTAGAGTAAAAACTACATAAAAATTTAAAAATGTGTTTACATTATAATAAAAATAAATACAAACAAATAATTTCAACGTATATCAATTCATATATTTTATCAAATGACCGCTTCTATACCGAATTAGGTTGTATTTATTAAGATATTTTTCATACAAGTAAAATATTTTTAAAGTTTAAATTAAAAATCTATCATATTATACAACACAAATTATAATTTATAAAGTATACAAACCCGTGTGTATACACGGGTTTTCACCTAGTATGAAATTAATAAACCTGACAAAAACTAAAATAGTTAGATAAAGAAAACAAATTTCAATAACGACACTCCATCTCGTTACCTTTCTTGTTTGTGAAGATATTACTTTCTCCCTTTTATTCATCTATTATATATACATGTGTATATATAAACTTTAATTATATCCTCATTTAATTTAAAATTTTCTTGCTCAAATTTTTTTACTAATTATAGTTGGATTCCATAATTAATCATTTTCACACGAATCTAACTATAATCCGAAAATTCAACTGTGAAGAAAAAGAAAAATGGTCAAGAATAGTCATAATCAAAATGTAGAAAACTGCAGTTAATAATTATTTGTTGCAAACGTATATACATACACCATTAATAAACGTGACGTCCAAGCAACCCCTCTAAATATATTACTTGAAAACCATTTTAATTTAATATTTGAACCAAAAAATCAATTATATAATTATATTTTGTTCCTTCCAAAACTTAACATTCACTTGCCCCTCTTTCTATATCACCTCCTCATCTTTAGCTCGCTCTCTCTCTTACCCCCCTATCTCTCTCTCTCTCATATGATTTTATCTTTTGATAGTTCTGATTTAGATTTTGGTAGGTCATTGTAGAGAGAGAGAGAGAGAGAGAGAGAGAGAGGGATAAGTAGAAGAAGAAAGATGAGTTGGTGTGATGCTTCAGATGATAACTACGACCTCAATCTTGAAAGAGCTTCCAACATTGATCATCCATCGATTCAACTCAAAGACCAATCTCAATCATGTATCACGAGCTGTCCCGATTCCAAGGTTATCGTTATTGAATCTCCTATCATGACTTGTCCTTCTTGTGGACACAAGATTCATCAACAAGACGACCAGGTATATATATATATATATATAACCACTAATTCACCTAAATGATCTCTAATTTATACATCATTTTTACTTTATATTTTGACATACATATTAATGTGAATAAATGAAATATGATATATATAAGGTTGGCAGCATCAAAGACTTACCAAGCTTACCGGCAGGAGTCAAATTCGATCCATCGGATAAAGAGATCCTTATGCATTTGGAAGCCAAGGTTTCATCAGATAAGAGAAAACTTCATCCGTTGATCGATGAATTTATACCGACGCTTGAAGGAGAAAATGGAATTTGTTATACGCATCCTGAGAAACTTCCTGGTAACGCCAATACATGACCTCATAGAAATATTAGGAGAAAATTATACTTCTATTTAAGAATGAAAGTTAACGGAATTACATATAAACAAAAACTTAACGTAATAAAATTAGTACCTTGAAAAGGATGAAATATCCGAAAATGACACTACGATCAATTGACTTTGAATTTTGTTTGTAATCAAAACTAACATTTGCTTACATATACAAGTATATTTTTTTGGTTTAACCAAAAAAAAATAAAATACAAGTATATTTTTGGGTTTCTCTTTTTTTTTAATGCTAAATAAATTTGAATTTGTTTTAGAGAGAAGCATTTTAGTCATATCGTAAAAAGATCTAATTAGTTTAAAACCCTTTCATAAAAAAAATTGCTAGGTTAAGTTAGTACTTAGTATATATTTTGTACTGGCGCTGACTGCTATGATTTTTATGCAGAAATGTTATTTGTTGTTCTAACGCAAAAACCAAAGACCAAAACCAAATGATCATATCTACTAAATTTTGCAATTTGTGACAATAGTTTTCCTTCTACAAATTTTCTGTATGATTATATTGATTATAAAAGTAAAATCAAATCCTAAGTAATTGATGATCAAACATTGTCTTTAACTATTTGTATGTCTTATCCGGTTATCCCAAGTAGGAGTAAGCAAAGACGGCCAAGTACGGCACTTCTTCCACCGTCCATCGAAGGCTTACACGACCGGAACACGAAAACGTAGAAAAGTGAGCACAGATGAGGAAGGCCACGAGACACGGTGGCACAAAACGGGCAAGACCCGACCCGTTTTATCTCAATCAGGAGAAGCCGGTTTCAAGAAGATCCTAGTGCTCTACACAAACTATGGTCGGCAAAAGAAGCCCGAGAAAACGAACTGGGTGATGCATCAGTATCATCTAGGACACAGTGAGGACGAAAAAGACGGCGAACCTGTCCTCTCCAAAGTGTTCTACCAAACACAGCCTAGGCAATGTGGAGGTTCGACAGAAACTAAACCGAAGAAACTCGTAAACCTAAACCGGTTTAGTTATGAAAAGCTTAAGGCCGGGTTCGTGTACGAGCATGGAGGGAGAAGTGAAGAGACGGCGCAGGTGATTCGAGAGTTGGTGGTTCGTGAAGGAGATGGGTCATGTTCGTTCCTTAGTTTTACTTCTGACGCAAGTAAGGGTAAAGAAAGCTTCATGAAGAATCAATAAAACATATTATAAATAATAAAGGCAGGTGCTTTGTGGAGTAAAGATGAGGAAAAGAATGATGTGAGTGAGAGAGCACAGATTCTTTGTGTGTAGGTGTTGGGTAACTATCATAGTAAATTATCTCAAAGCTTTTGGGAGATTTTAGGTTTTAACATTTTTTTTGGGGATTAAATTGGGGTAGCAACTTTAACCTCGAGACATTAAACTGATCTTTGTTTTTATTTCTTTATTTCTAAATAAAACCTGTTCGAAAAATACTGCAATAGCTCTTCTTTTTAATTGTAAGATGCAAATACTAAAAAAATAAGCTGTATATGAAATTTGAAAACCGTGAGTATAGTTTCTTGTATACAAGAAAAAAGGAGAGTAGGAATTCTTATTGCCATTAATTAGGTGTTGGGTAATCCTGTATACAAGAAAAAGAAGAGTATGATTTTTCATTATTAATTTGTAGAGTTATTCCCATAATCTGATTTTTTCATCGTTTAATAGCAGAAAACCTTGTTTAGGAAAATCCTTATCAGTTTGTAGTTTAACTGCGTGGAGGGATGCTAGTCAATGAGAACCCTTTGATGTCACGGTTTCTGTGAACCCTAAGGAAGCTTGATGATATCTAATCCCAATATTGTTTATATATATAGCTTTTAACTAAAAAAAAAGTTTCTAATTTATAACTCAAAGAGTTTTTACAAAATAAAATTAGATTAAAGTTCCATTCAAATAATAATCAATCAAATTAAATTTTATGTGATATAGTTATGCCAAATATATAGATAATTCTGGAGGAACAGGTCTAACTAAATTAATAGTCTATAGTGTTCATGATAAGACAACTAATTCATAAAGAGGTCTTGAGGTGAAACCGCTGATCCAAATCAAATGTGTGAAGAAAACAAACATAGATTCGGTTCTTTGAAATATATGTAGATAGATGATCCACTTTTCGCTGAAGTACCAATTTTGGTGATGAACTCGTGTAACAAGTAACATGAGGATGCAAGAATATTTAAAACATAGGGATAACTTGAGATGCAAGCATTCTTTCTCCACCTGAAGTGAGCGGAAGAACTCGATATTCACCGGTTCAGGACTGCTTTTCTTTTCATTGGTATTAACCTAAAAACTCTTTTCGACAGCTTTATTTCACCGTATCATAAAATGACACACAGAGATTGCTTATGATCGAACAAGCAAGGGCTTGACTTATCTTGGATTGTGAAGAGGTTCGGTACAGATTTGACGGATGGACATAATTTGTTTGCTTAACTTGAACAAGAGTTTGGTTTCGTAAGAAAAAGGACGTCCATAAAATTAAAGACTAATTTTCATAACATTAAAGCAACAGCTTTTTGGTTTAGTGGTGTTGTTTCAATCCATTAATTTCCATAAAACAACTTACTAAACACCAGTCTCATGAGACTCGATTTCTGAAACACATTCTCCGTGGATGTCTCAACCTTACGGAACTTAACCGGAAGGACATTAATGTTATCATCATCATCATCAACGTTAAGAACAAGTATGGGTGCACCGTAAAAGCTGGTGGTGGCACCAACACTCTTATTACCGTTTATAACCGAGTAACTCTGGTAATGAACGAGCTTGTAAGTGTTTTGTTCATTTCCATATTTCTGAATCCTAAAAAAGCTATCTTTCCTGTTAGGGTTACCACCAGTGGTTACATAGAGATTATTGGAACTCAACGAGGAGGAATCGACTTTCCATATCTTTGAGGAAGGACATGGCCAGATCGGCGACTCGAAAGCGATGGTTAGGTTGGTGTTTGTCGATACATTATTGCCTCTGTCCAAGAATGGAGTAGAGAAAGTAATAGGTAGCCCTGGTTGATAAGGAAGAAGGAGTGTGCGGACAATACTTAGTGGACACAAATGATCTAAGTCAATGCTTGCAGCTGGGACAAGAACGCCTCCTTTTTTGTGTGAAGCTGGTTCGATGAAATATTGGGTTTGTCTCTGAATTGGGTGTCCGTTTGTGTCCTTGACGTATTCCACTTCTGCCCCGGCTGTTTCTGCAACAGCCGAGACTAGAAGTAACAAAGAGAGGAATAAGAATGAGATAGCTGGCTTGTTGTTCTTATTCATGGTGACTCTTAGGTGACTTGAGTCTAAAGCAAACATTTTGATATAGAGTAATATATAGCAAAGCTTCCATGTTGTGAGTACTTTGAAAGAAATGGATCAAAAGCATCAAAGTTTCGGTGGCAAGATATCTTTTGAAGTCTTTTTGTTTGCTTTAATTCGTGACACGAGGAGTATCACAGAAATGAAAAATTTCTTGGAACCTAGCTAAAAGATGAAGCTGATAAAGAGTAAAGCCACCGATAACTCATGGGAACAATTATGCCCAACGACAGCGATATGTGACTCAATGGTTCTGTTGGTGACATGCTTTTTTATGGTAAAAACTATGATGATGCACAAGATGTTGAAATTCAATGACCGGAGCCATTGTTTTTTTAAGGGGTAAAATGACTGGAGCCATTTGAAGCCTTAAACGAGTATTTGGTCTTTTTTTCCAGCAAACCTTACAGTTACAGTGACTCAAAACTTAAGCTTCACCAAGAGAGGAATGTTGCAGTTTCATCCTTTACTTAATCCTGCACAACAGAAAATGGAAACTGAAGTGGAGACCATACCCAAATATCAATAACATAAGCAAACATAGAAAAAGTAATTAAATAAATTAAATACAAATATATCATGAAAAAGATGTTCACATAATCCACGTATCCTAATCAAGCCGCTTCTGTAGCTTATGCCACGGACAAGATTATCCACAGAACGCCATTTCAGAGAGAATCTCCTTATACGGTGATTGGCATGTAGAGCCAATAAATCATCTAAGAAATACTAGCGGCAGTAACTCTGTCTTAGAGACTCTGAGACTCCATCGGAATATTCATGAAAGGGATGAAGCAAGATGGCGACGGAAAAATGGGCAATACAAACCGAATTTTGAAACCAAGGATACAGGGGAGCAATTAAGACAAGCAAAGCCCAAGGTGGACTGGTTCAAGGGGATATGGTTTCCACAATCGACCCCCAAGTACTCGTTTATAACATGGCTAGCTGTTAAGAATCGATTGGCAACTGGAAACAGAATAAAAAACTGGAACCAGAATGCTGTCACAAGTTGTGTCTTCTGCGGCGATCAAATGGAAACCAGGGATCACCTCTTTTTCACTTGTTTTTATTCAAAGGAGATATGGAGGAAACTAACTCAAGGCATTCTAGGAAGCAGACACACAGAACAGTGGGAACAATTGATCCACCTAATTGCAAACCCGTTTGGAAACAGCACCACAACATTTCTTATCAGGTACTCGTTTCAAACTGCAGTTCATTCCATTTGGAGGGAAAGGAACAGCCGCAGGCATGGTGAGCAACCAGTTCAAGCACCTACTCTAGCGATGCTATTGGATAAAAACATTAGGAACCAGTTATGTTCGATGCGCATGGCGGGTGATCGAAGATACGAGGATGAGTTGGAAATTTGGTTCTCAACAAGAGTTTGAGTAGCGTGTAATAGAAGCAAATAGAATTGGAGGTCTTTTATTTATTTATTTTCATGAAAAAGTTGTAGACAAAATTATTATTATTTTTTGAATATAATTTGACATTAGATTAAAAAAAAAAAAAACAACTCTATCTCAAGCGAACAATATAAATGGGCCTTATTTTGAGATAATAAGCCCAAAGCTGACTAGTATCATGATGTGGAAGAAGATTATTGGCTAGGTTCTCTCTCCTAACAGAGTACACCGAGAGACGACGCAGCCATATAAGCCGTATTTAAGAACAAGTTTTAAGTTTTAACTATTTGTCCAAAAAAAAGAACAAGTTTTAACTAATGATGTTGCTAGCTTTTCTTTTGTTTTTGTAACAAGGGTTTAAGATACAAGTTAATGAATTTTATACAATTTAATGAATACACATTCTAGACTTCTTGGTCATCACTCTCATCAACTTTAGATTATAGCCATTCTTTGTTTTTATTCTGATTATAGAAAAGAAAAACATTGATCCATTATAAAAACCTAACAATTAACAACCATTACCGAATATACATATGGTGAAAAAAATTATGTGAAGAAAAATCACAACCACAAAGCTCCAACCTCCTTAAGAATTGGAACCAAGTCACCGGAGATATGAGCGGCCATAACCCTATCTAACCCTCCAAACAACCTCCCTCCTATATAAACCGCCGGTAATTCCACCGTTTCACTGCCGCCTTCAACGCCAATCTTCTCTAGCTCACTCATAACTTCATCTTCACTCTCCTCATCGATCTCATGAACCGCCGGATTTACTCCAAGTCCAAGAAGCAGCTTCTTCAAAACATGACACATGCAACATCCTCTCCGTCCAATCACAATCACCGCGTTCTCCTCCACCACCGTCCGAACGCTCTCGCCGTTTCCTTGTTTCTCAAGCGGTAGCGGTCGCAGAGATTGTGCGGATGGGATCAAATTATGTCTTATACAATAAATTGTTCCTTGCATTTTCAAGTATGTTTTGAAGATATGCCAATTAAGTAGGAAGGGGAAGGTTTTATGTTACATATATATATGAAGAGAGAGGAAAGTCTTGCGTCAACGATGGTTACGTGAGGATGTGCGTCACAGCAAACGGTGGATGATGCTGATTTGCGTCATCACCAGATGGGAGTGGACTTAGTCATAGGACCGTGTCTTTTTAATGCACCACATGATTCACGCTGACTTATTGTCTTATTGATCCCACTCTATTATTCTAATCAAAATTAGCACGTTTTTTATTTATGTCCTTTCTACGTGTTGTATTACATAATACTTAACTGGTTTTATATCAATTGACACTAGTTACTTTTGTCTTTGATAGACAGTTGTATATATGTAATTCGAAATACTGAATTCGCATGTGACCTCACACAGTGGATGCTTATTTAAATACCGACCAAACAAAGCGGAATCACCGGACTATATATAACAATTCTGATAATCTAATTAATTGAAATTATTGTGTAAACAAATGATATTTCGGGATTAGTTGTATATAATAGTTTAAAACTTTGAAAATTTTCCGTTTATCTCCACTAGCTGTATTCATGAAACTCAAGTGTAATATTTCTTTCAAATTTGGAGGGAAAGGGAATATACATGATACATTGACACTCTAAGAGCATCTCCAATAGTTTCTTCATTTTTTCATTAAAAAATGAAGAAACTTCATTTTTAAAGGAAAAATGAAAAAACAATTGGAACAAATTTTCTTCATTTTTTTTTTCAAAAAGAATATTCCAAACATATTTTTTTTAATTTTTTATTAATTGCTAACAAGATCCTATACTTTTCAGTTTTACAATTTTTCACTTATTTACTTATGTAGAGTAATTATAATTTTACAAATTTTCACTTATAAATTTTCACTTTTCAGTATTTTAATCATCTTAATGGACCTGAAAGTGATTTTCCAAATTATTAAGTTGTTAGTTTATGTTATATTAAGTTTATTATTTATAATTCAGTATTAATTATGTATTTTTAATTTTGTTGTGAGCTATGTTCTTGTATTTTCTATATAATATATGTTATTGTATATTTTTATTGTGTTTATTGTATTTTTACTTTATAATTTAACTAAAAAAAACTAACAGTTTTAAAATTAATTGGATAAAAAACATATAAATTTTGTTTGGGTATAAAATAAAGCATTTAGAAAGTTAAAGATACATTTTGTAAATAAAAAAGTTCATCTTAAAAAAATGAAGAAATGAAGAACACTGTTCATTTCTTCATTTTGAAGACGAATTTGAAGCACCATTAGAGAACATTTCTTCATTTTTATCTTCAAAATGAAGGAAAAAATGAAAAATGAAGAACCATTAGAGATGCTCTAAGACCAAAACATTCCGAGTGGCTGAAAACATAGACAAAATTTTAATTAAAAAAAATAATAATAGTCAGATTAATGTATTGCGACCAATTTCGTTAAAAATATGATCGATCTGATAATGTTATCACTAATGCACCAATCCTATCAGAATTCTGAATTGATTACGTTTACACGAAAACAGAATTATGATTTATGATGCGTGATTTTGTGAAAAATAATCGTCTTGAGTCTCTGATTGAAATCTTTCAAAAAAGTAAAAGAAAATTCAAATTTACTGTCATATTATCTATTTGTTTCCAGAATCTTCCCCATAGTGGAACCTTATTAATACACACAAGAAGATAAAGAAAAGAAGATCTCCACAATGAACCATCTCAATTCGTCCGATATGGACGGTGGAAAAGTCGGTATACATTAGCACCGGCCACCGAGTCATCAACTTAGCATTTATTTAGTTGTTTCAATGGTATTTACAATGACGTCATTTCTGCTTAAACTCACGTCAAGCATTTCTTCCTTAAGAGATTCTTATTTGGTCGTATGTCGTTATTAAACTCACGTCACTAATTTAGCCTTTTAAAGTTCTTGAGGACCCAAAGCCTTTCCATTGTTTTGTTCCACCAAATCCTGAAATGGAAGTGTAACCTTATCCTCCATCATCGTCCTATAACATTAAAACAGAGTTTGTGGAATTTTAAATGCATGCATGTCCGCAAATAATTATAAAAAAATTTCAGCAAAAGGATCTTAAAGAGAGCAATAATTTATAATTTTAAAGAGTTTAACCAAAATGTATGCTAAAATGTATATATTCAATCCCAAAATATGGTAAAACATAGTGTGCTTGTTGATTATTGTGCTTTACCATATGATTTACCAAAATATCGTTTGCTTTATAATTAGAGTGGTTTGAATGGTAAGAAAGCTGATATTAGTTAGGTGTTATTGGGGAGCAACAAATGTGATAGTAAGAGAAGAACTTGCGTTAATTTTTCAATAGGCTCTCTCCAAAATATTATATACATACTAATCTCAAAATGTCAATATGGTGAATATAGCAATAATTGTGAGAGAATTAAAAGTGAGGTAGTGAGTTTTATTGAATCGGGAATATTAGAGCACATTACGGTGAGAAAAACGGAAGTAAATTGTCATATATAATTTTCTTGTTCAGTTTTTTTTTTTTTGGTTCTTGGTTCATTTTTGTTTTATTCATTGCGAATGTATACATTTCTCAGAGCTTAATCCTGCAAAACGATGATTCAAATTAGAAAAATCAAGTTCAAAACCACTTTGTTTTTCTACAATTAAAAAATTGGTGGATGGTATTTTAATAAAACTTAGATAAACAGTAATTTAATACCCATCACATAATTTCATTCTAGAAAGAAAATCTCAAAAGTTCTATCCAGATAGTACGCAAATAATGATTTTTTCCTAAAAGAAACAGAAAATTTAAAAAAAAAAGAATATAGTAATGTACCTTCCACAATCCGTTTTAGTGTCAAATGGAACCGCCTTAGAAATACCACAGTGTTCAGGCAACCCGATAAGTTTATTATAAGGAGACAACCATACAATTTCTTGGAAACACCTGCAGAGATCTTGACGTGCGTTTGGCGTCTCTGCTTGTAAGTTTAGCTCGTATAAAGCTTGACAACAATCACCTTGTCTCGATTGTCCGTTATCTCGATGCAAACATGAACTTATCACCTTGCCTTGCGCCATTCCACAGTGTCTATCGCCATTCTGGTTACTCATCATTTTAGCACCGAGAGTTGGGGATAGAAACACTACTAAACTGATACAAACGACCAAGATTGATTTGTTCATATTTTTCATTATGATTATTTTAAATGTATTTTTTTGTGTTTGTTTATAAGAATTGTTCAAGATATGGTGCCTATATTTTTTAGAGAATGTAAGCAAAATATAAAAAAAAAATTTCTTTCCCAATAATGTTGCATTTGCTAAAAATCCATTTAAGCAAAAGTATATATCTGAGTTATGGACTCACATCATTAAAATCATTGTTTATCCTCTACACATACAGAAATCACCGTTCATCCAATGGGAAGAGACTAGAGTCATTCAGTATTCTTAGCATGTGTAGTTTGACTTAATTTTTTTTGAACTTATATCTAAAGATCTCCTGTCAATAGGTGAGATTAATTCTTATCAAATATTTTCTTAACTCATAGGCTTTTGTGATTTTGTCAGCCGATACACATACTTCACAAGTCTACAGAATTGTTGTTTAGTAGTTTATACTAACACTAGTGTTGTCACTTCATCAAATCCATAGATGAATAAAACGAGCATAGTAACAGATCAAAGTTTTTGAAAATTCTTTTTTTTTTTGCCGCAATTAGGTGTTTTATTTGATTACTAAAAACAATAAAAAGGCTCTATGGTCTGTTATGGGCTTTGTTAGCTTCTCCAATAAGCCCAAAGTTGAGTTTTCTGCGATCCTCTCCAGCGAATCTTCTAAGCCAACCGCAGGTGATGCGTTTTGCTGTGTAAGAGACGAATCTCACGCCGGAATTCTTCTACTTCACCGCCGTTTGTTCTTCTTCATTGATCTGCATCGCCTCGCCTTTCGATTAATCCCTCTCAGGTAAAAGAAAAACCTTCTTAATTTTTCTCTTACACCAATTGTGCTTTCGCACTTTTCCCTGTTTCTAAACGCAACTTTTCTGCTTTTTTTTTCTTTTCTACGGTTTGCATCGATCTTAAAGTACAGAGATTGATAAAGCTATTCCCGTTATACTGTAGAAATTTTGACCTTGATTAGCCAGGATTTAATCGGAATTTGTTAGGATCTAATTGTTGTGCCGAGTTGATCATTGTGACTTTGTTCAATCATATAATTTGGGAAATTTTTTGTCATTTTGACTTGTGTTCTTCCTTTGTGGATTGGAATTTGATTTTATTGCTTAATTCAGCTCTGTTCTTTGATGTATACTGTACAGGGTAGCACAAATTTGTACGATTCCGAGATGTCTTCAGCGCAAGATCCATTCTATATTGTTAAGGAAGAGATCCAGGACTCTGTAAGTTATTTGGAATTGGCCAGCGGGAGTTGATTTTATTTTTTTAGATTTGAAGGACACTGATTAATGTTTGGGATTTTTGGTCATGGGTGCTTTGATAGATTGATAAGTTGCAATCTACATTCCACAAATGGGAGCGTATCTCTCCCGGCATGGGGGATCAAGTGCATGTGACCAAGGAGATTCTTGCTAATTGTGGAAGCATTGAGTGGCAGGTACTCGTATTTAGTAACTCTCCTGTTAATATCGTCAATGGAATCTGTATTTTGTATTAGTTGTTGAATAGGATGATGGATGCTGAACACTAGCTCATTTCGTAGAATGAATATGCCCTTGTTTTTCTGCTAATGTAATGTCAATCTCGGTTATCTAGATACTCAAAAAGATACAATAGAATAAGTGATCCGTTAAAATTAAGAGTCCTTTCATGGGTATTGAAGCTGTCTTTATTGATAGGAAGGTAGATGAGCTGGAAAAAGCGGTCACTGTTGCAGCAAAAGATCCTGCATTGTATGGCATTGATGAAGCTGAGCTTGAAAGACGGAGAAGATGGACTAGTAATGCTAGGACACAGGTATTGTCTCTTAAGTGTGTAATGAATACTGCTTTTGCTGCTTTAGAGAGTGTCTCATAAATTTGTTGTTAGTTGACCTGTGCAAGACCAAAAAAACAATACTTTTTTAATAGGTTCGGAATGTGAAAACTGGTGTTCTAGCTGGAAAGGGTAATGCTGGAGCCGGTAATGCAAGTGAAGTGCGCCGAGAACTAATGAGAATGCCAAACTCGACTGAAGCAAATAGATACGATCAGTACGGAGGGAGAGATGATGACGGTTTTGTACAGTCAGAATCAGATAGGCAAATGCTGTTGATAAAGTATAGCTCTTTCACTGCTTCTTGCAATCTCTTGTTTGCTATATGAGGTTAATCATGATTTTGGACCGCAAATGCTCGATAAAGATTGTTGCATAGCTTCTCTGAGAAATGCCATAACTTGACATCATTTTTGTCACTTCAGGCAACAAGACGAAGAACTAGATGAGCTCAGTAAAAGTGTACAGAGAATCGGAGGAGTGGGGCTTACTATACACGATGAACTCGTTGCACAGGTTAGTAATGATGGGAAAGAGATAACAATACTAGTGTCAGCAGAGATCAGAAACATCAAGTTTTTTTTTATTATTTGGGTGTTTCAGGAGAGAATCATAGATGAATTGGGTACAGAGATGGACAGTACGAAGAACCGGCTTGACTTTGTTCAGGTAAAACCAACCCTAAAGGTCTTATTTTTTCGTAAGTGATGAGAAAATGGGAAAGTTGAAAGAATTAAAAATATGTTTTTGTGACAGAAAAAAGTGGGAATGGTAATGAAGAAAGCTGGAGCGAAAGGGCAGATGATGATGATATGTTTCTTGCTCGTTTTGTTCATCATCCTATTCGTTCTCGTCTTCTTGACCTAAAACCGAGCAGCCGAATCTTAGAGATGGTATTTTGATGTGTTACTTCTGTTATGTTTGTGCTGAAACAGAAAGGAACATAGTATTACATAAAGTTCTCTGATCTTTCTCTACTTATCCGATCCTACTTCTACTTTTTTTTCCTTCTGGTACTTCTTTGAGATTGAAGTCTAATTTTTTTTGGACTCTCAACACAATCTAATACTGTATTATCAAACTTGCCACTATATATAAGCTAATGGGTAGAAAGAACACCTCCCTGCAATCCAATCTGTTATACAGCATGTTTCGAGATGAGCTGAATTGTCACATAAACAAATATCCTTGAAAATATTAAAGAAAGAAACTTACAAAGTAAAGTCAAGTTTCGATTCCGTGGAAATAGGGTCTAAAAATGTAATGTATTCAACAAATCGAACTTGCGAAAGAAGAAAAAGAAAGACAAGAGGGTCCATTTTGACAAATATACAATAATATTAATATGGTGGTAGAAGAAAGAAGATGCCTTCCCGTTTCAGACCCCATTCAAGCGAGTCAGCCTCTTAAGCCTCTCTTTCTTCTTCTTCTTCGTCAAATCCCATCTGTAAAAAATTCGAAAAACCCTTGATCTAACCTTCCTACGAGTTTTCAATAATCCCATGGCGATTTCTCTTCTCTTATAATACATTTTGCTCACCCAGATTAGTTCCAGACCCCTCGCATTCTCTCTCCCTCTCTGTTCGAATCAACTGAAAATTCCTCTTTTTGTGAGGTTTTTGGAACTCAAAAATGGTGTTGCCGTTGATGAAACTGGGCACCCTAGCTGTAAAAACCATAAGTAAGCCCTTAGCTAGTCAGCTTAAGCACCAAGCCAAGGTTCATCCCAAGTTTCGTCAATTCATCATCAACTTCGCTCAGGTGATTTTTGAATCCCGTTTATCTCTCTGTCTCCTCGTTTTCTTTGAGATTCTAATTCCCTTTTATAGTCTTTGCGTTCCTTGATCTTGATTTTCTTAAAATTTCTCGTTTTGATTCTGATAACGTCTCCTGAGCTTCTGACCATAATCTAGGATTTGTTGTAGATAAGTCGTGGTTAGGTTTTGGATAATAATGATAGTTGAAAGTGGAACATTCGTTTGTGATCTGGGATTGATGTGTTGTTTGATAAATGTGACCAGAGAAACCACAGAATAACGACGCAGATGCAAAGAAGGATATATGGTCATGCCACTGATGTGGAGATTCGTCCCTTGGACGAGGAAAAGGCTGTTCAAGCTGCTGTAGACCTAATCGGAGAGCTCTTTATCTTTGCGGTATTATCTCTTTGCTCAGCATTTTGTTTATCCTCTTTCATATTATCTCTTTCAAACGGACAAGTTTATGGTGATGCTTTTGATGAGCATTGAATCTTGAATTACCTTCATGGACCTGTTTTAGCTCATGAATGGTTAGTTGCGTTTCATGAATTGGTAATGGTCTATTTGAAAAGGGATTATTTTGGCCTTGAGAAACTGGATCATTTTACCTGGTCAAGATGTTTAAGAGAAGCATAGTGTAAAAGACCGTTTTTGATGAAAATGGCTGATGGCTGAGAAATTATTTGGTTCTACTCAATCATCGTCTGCAATGCTGTTTTTTTGGGTACCATCTTTTCTTGCTTTTGTTTTCATAGTAAGTTTTGTCTGATACCATAAGGCGCTTCCCTTTGAATGGACCTGCCCTTATAACTTAACTAAAAAATTGTTAGTTTCTTCCATGTCCCATATCAATTTGGTGGTGTCAAAGTTGGATAAATTGAAAAATTTAGCTGGCCTTGAGAACCATTCTTCTATGCAATTCTCAATTGTTCCGTAGAACTTATAGATTCTATGAGCAGGTTGGAGGAGGCGTTGTTGTTTTTGAGGTGCAAAGAAGTTCGCGGTCAGAAGCAAGAAAAGAGGAAGCGCGCAAGCAAGAACTAGAGGTACACAAGAACACTTTTTGGAAGATAATTTTTGCCTTCTAAGTGTACCTTTTCTTGTGCCCTTCAGGATTTATCTTTGTTACGTACTGTTAGTACTTCAACTGAGATTGGGATGCATATATGTTCATCAAATTAGCATACATCGACCTGCTCAGGAAGAATATTCTATATATAACTGGACAATGCCATAAATGTGTGCTGCTATAGGATTGATTTATATGAACGTTCTTGTAAACAACTAAACAAAACAGGACTGGACAGTTAAGAAACCGGGAAAACTTGTGTGTTTGTTCAGAACTTCAAATGAGATAGAATGATAACCAGAAGTAACAATGTTGAGGTTTGGTTATTGAATGGTTTGAGTTTTTTAAACTCTTTGCATTTACAGGAGTTGAGAACAAAAGATGAAGAACTGGAAAAACAAGTCGCGGATCTCAAGAGCAAACTGTTAGAGCTTGAACAACTTGCTAAGGCACGGGGACTGACTGGTATTTTCCAGTTAAGACAGCAGCCCGGTACTACAGGTAGCGAGAAACCAGCCGAAAAAGGAAACCAGCTTAAAAATCCGGGTGAATCATCATCATCTTAATCAGTCTCCAAGTCTCAACCAAAGTTAACAGATACGGTAATGATTCTTTTCTTACAAGAGCAAGGAGTTTATGATTCTCTCCTTAACATTCTTGTAGATCGACCATCATTCATAGATACATACATGTATCCTCGTCATACTCATCAAGAACAATCTGCTTTATACCAACCATCTAGTCAAAATAGGTGACAAATAAAAACAGTTTTGATGTTGAAGTTTAAATGATCGTGCTCCTTTGTCTTTGCAACACTTTTTGCTTAGATTTGGTCTTTTTTAAGACCAATTGCTTGATTTCAGGCGATGTTGGATAATGACGTATTCATTAGGAAAGCGACCTTGGTAGATACCAAATAATGATCTATTTCTTTCTCTATCGATATTTCTACATCATATTTAATCATATCAATCCATACCTAATGTATATAAGGTCAAAACTATAGCGACACTTGACTAGTTTATGTTCTATGGTAAAGGCTATCTATCAGTTTTTTGCCAAAAAGAACAATGTATTTATCCTAAAACGATTATTATATAAAGATTGGGTTAAGTCTCATCAGCTTAACACTTAGCCACCTAATTTTTTGACACATCATTGACACATCATCTCATTAAAATTTTTATAAAACACACAGATAATAATTATTTCACTCCGTAAAACTTTTCTCCTATTTCTCTTTTTCTTCACAAAAACAAACCATAAACCCCAAAATCTCTAATCTAATTTTGAGGCTTTGAAATTTCGAAGATCAGCTTCCTCCATCCTCGATAAACATCAGAACAACAAACCCATCGATCGATTCTCCTCCTCCACCTTCTACTTCAATGGCGGATGAAAACCCTATAGGCTTGACACATCAGCATTGGAGAAGTTGACACTTGTCACTTAAATTTTAATTAGTATATTTTAATATTAAATTTTAAAGCACTTAAAGAATATGAAAAGTTTATTTTATTAGTTGACTCATAATTAGCATTTATATTAATGTTAAACAAACATTTATGTTATAACTGATTAAAAATATTAATAGATATGTATTAAATTTTTATATAACTGTATATTACTTAATAATATTCGAGATGTATTTTAAATTAATTTTTTAAGATTATTTATAATAAAATACTAATAAGTAACAAATGAAATGATGATTATATTTATTTTAATTTTTTATTAATTAATTATTAATTAATATTTGTGTAAATGTTAAACAAAAATTTATGTTATAAGTAATTAAAAATATTGAATGATACTTATTATTTTTAATATAATTTTAAATTATTAAGTAATATTCAATATGTATTTTAAATTAATATTTTAAAATTTTTAGAATAAAATATTAACAAGTAAGTAAGTAACAAGTGATGACTATATTAATTTTAATAAAATTATATATAAAAAAATTTGAAAAAAAAATTGAAAAGAAAAATCCGCACGTAACGTACGGGTATTCACCTAGTTCAAAATAAAATGCGACAGTCAAATACGACATAAACAAATGTTTAACAACAGAATTTTTTTGTCAACATTTAACAACAGAATTAAAGAGATGAAAATGGAATATTTGAAACCGCTATCTCATGGATAATATTTTTTTCATGATTATCTAACTTCTAATGTTTGGAAAATAGTCATTTAGGCCAGCCAGGAACTTGATAATGCGAGCATGTTGATTCTTGGTTGAGACGGCCTTGCAACACTTACAATTGTGACAAGTTTTGACACAATCTGTGGAGTCTAAATCATACTATAACGTCTTCAGCTTTGTATAGTAATTTGAGAAATCCATTGACCCTTGCTGCAGTGCCCAAATTTGTGTAAGCTGATATGATCTAGGCAGATTAGTCACATGATATCGAATCAACAAATCTTTCGAAATGGCTGAAGCATAATCAAACCATAGAATGCTACCATAAACAAATACTAGCTTATTCTTGGCATCTAAAGCTAAGGTAATTTCAATGCTCCATGTATTGTAATTCTTCTCATCTAATGAATCAAAGTAAACCAAAAAACAAAACCCGGTTCACTAACATTAAATCTATCTAAACCGAAATTTTGCAGCTGCCTTGATGGATCTTGCGTAATCCGCTTTGATAGAAGAGAAGTTGGGCCATAATAGTATGGGCTGGATCAATTATTATAAGCTTTGATAGAAGAGAAGTTAGGCCATTATAGTATGGGCTGGATCAGGAGTTGAAGAGCCCATATATATTGATATATAGACATACATGTGTAATATTAGGGTTCATAGCATTGTGGAACTCGGAAGCCGGAACTCAGAGCAACAATAGATATGGACGTTCCGCCAAAACCATTTAATACGAAAAACGCACCTAAACGGTATCAGATTTGTTGCGGTGTTTCTCATAAAAGTTCGGATTACTCTTTCCTTCGAATGAGGGATGATCGGGATTTCAAGCCTAGTAGCTGGACGTCAAGGTATCGATTCCATTTATTTTAATATATCTCTAGTCTAAAGATATGTATATCAAAGTACTAGGTTTGGTTATTATTATAATTATTCGATATGACTATAATTAATTGGTTGTTAAATTGTGATTTCATCTGAGTCAGCATCGATAACGATCTCGCATCAAGTTCAAAGTTGCGAATCCCCAACAAGCGCAAAGCTATGAAGAATAAGAGGAAGAATAAGAAGTTGGCCAAGATCACAAAGAAGGAGATGAAGAAAAGGGAGAATAAGTTGGTCGAGGTCAAAGAGAAGAAGAAGAAGAAGAATAAGAAGTTGGTCGAGGTTAACCCCAATGCCACCACCTAAAGCTAAGCCGCTGTCTTATGGAAATACAAGTTCTCCAATAAGTTTCAACTTTTAAGTTTTGTAATATATATTATTAATTAAGTGATGTTTTCTAAGTTATATCTTTAGCTTGCGATACTATGATGATTAAATCTTTGTCTCCTTCGGTAATAGCTGGACATAAGATGTTGCTTCGATTTTTCCTGGTTAGTTTAATGTTAGTGGAGGACACAATTTTCATTGATTTGTTGGTTTATGTAGTTATAACTAGAAATTTTCTCTCAATCCACGATTAATTTTGTTGCGGCAAATGATTCACATCGTTAGCAAATTATCTCCAATCCTTTGAGGTTTTTATTGTTATTCTATATGTAAGAGGGATATTGTGATTCTGCAAATAACTTGTACTTAATTAGTTTAGCATGCCATGTTTTGAATCATCTTACTTGAATGCTTTTGGCAACGGTAAAGTCCACAAGATCAATTGGTTTGCTTCTGGTACATTCTCAATAGCAAACCCGCTTATGACTCATTAAGCCTTTGGTGGCCTGAATGATTTTTAGTTACATGACACTTTTTCCTCATACATCTATGTTATTCAATACTAGGTGGCTTGAGGCATAGTATCTAAATGCAGTAGGCAGAACTGAGCCACAATAACCACTCGTGAGAATCATCGATGTTATTCATGCCCACTGAAGACAAGAACATTAGGACAAATAGAAAGACCTCTGAAACAGCATAATGCACTTCAGAATTCAGATCATAAAATACACTACTTCATTGGATGAATGGTAACGAAGACGAGCTTAAAGCCAAGCATCATTTCCCCAGCGCCACAATATCAAACATAGAGTCAGATCAAGCAAGGGAACAAGGTATACACAGTGTAGGAGTAGAGAAGAATTTGAATAAGTCTGCAACTTTTACTATTTCATTTTATTGTCCTCTTTTAATGTTTACAATTGATACACAAAAAATACAAAACCAAGCTCTCTATTGTACTCAACGCTTCAAAAGCATTTTTTGATGAAAAGGCGAGAGCTTAACCAAGGAAAAGCCACATCAACAATCAATTTGCAGATACATGTCTTCTAATAGGTCAACTCCTGCAGTGAAATCCAGTTAAGGCTTTAAATCTACAATGTATAATGCGTAAGGGTGCCAATCTAAACGAAACTATAGCACCGGTTTTTACATTTTAGCTGGATTATTACTAGGAATGATTACCAATATAATTGCACCCTACAGGCCAAAAGCCCTCTACATATAGTAACCAACATCACTAGTGGCATCAGCCAAGTTTGTCAGACATAGAACAGATTTTAAATCAGATCTCAAACATGTAGATATGACGGTTGTCATTTTCAACTGCTTTCACATTTTTCTGCTCTCTTCATAGCTCTAGCCCTGGTCCAATTGCTTCCTGAAAATATTTAGATGACTTAGCTTGTCAGGTCACTAAGTATGTTACTGACCCTAATGTATATGTGAAAAGCTAATCAACAAAAATACCAACACAATGAACCTTGTGATCGAATAATAATAGACTTTGGTCACCTGATGAAGGTAGGTAGACAAAGCCACCAAAAGTACTTTAATTAGAAGAGAACACAAGGAAATCATAATATCAGAAAGATTATTCAAGACAATCAAGTGTAACTTGTACCAAATCACCAAACAAAAAGACTTGCATCCTGTAAAGAGCACTATCCCAACAACAATAGCAAGAGCAACAGCATATTCTAGAAACATCGTACGCATTGGTACATTACTTCCCAGATGCAGAGCACTGCCAGTAAACTCAACAAAGTAGAACACAAGATATTCTACAAGTGATAAGACACCAAGAATGCAATAAAATTCAAGAATTACTTGACGAGCATTATAGACAATGCACGGTTATTTATTTGAAAACTGCAAGAAGTAGAGAAAGTCAAGGCAGAAGACAAATGCAGAAGCCCACTTTCCCAGTGATTCGAATACATTGCAGAAAACTCAAAAACAAAACTTGAAAGCGCCTGATAAGGAGATTAATAAGCAAATAGAGTGATGCTTACAAAAAGTTGTTGAAAACAAGTATGGCTACTCTATGCCGAGGAATGTAAGCCAAGCACACATAGGTGGGGACAAAAAGAGTTGGGGCAAAACAAACATCAACCCATTCTGTTAACAAGTGTCTACAAAACAAGTTTACCCAAATCGTTAATACTAAATCAACTTGTTGTTTTTGGAAATGGTGCCAGTGGAGAAACGCAGTTTCGAACACAGCAGACGGTGCTTCCGTAATTTCATCCTCCTCCCAGTTAGCTCGAACCTGCTTCTTGCACGAGTAATACATTTCCTCTTCCCAAAGTTTCTTTTAGTGTCGCGTCCATAACAGAGCTGAGCATGAGTACGGGGGTCACCTCGAATATGTCTGTTGTACCAATCGATTAACATTTGTTTACTGATTAACCCAATTTCCCTTTTTACTTCAGAGGAATGATCAAATTTATACCTGAAAATAAAACCGTCACAGGTCAGTATCTTCAAAGCACAAAGAAAAAGAAAATACACTGTCATGTATTTGATTTTGATGAACTCTACCTTTGATCACGAATCTCTTCCCATATGTTCTTCCCTTCATCACTAGAGACATCACGAATCACCCCGCTTCGGTACCCGTTGAAGGTTACATCACTAACTCCATTTTATCAAGTATACGACCATGTAAATGATAATAGATGATCACGAATGATATTAAATAATAGACAGGATGAATAATTTCTATTAAAAAGACATACCAGCCAATTACCAAGCCTCTTTACGAAATTGCGTATCCGTTTCCACAGATGATCAGGTGAATACGCCGGAGAGGTTACTTTAATGTCAAATCCAACTCCCGCATAGGTCAAATTAGGTACACAACAAACAGAATATCCAAGCCTTTCCTCAGTCCTAAAGCAAATAAAATCTTAATGCAAATTCCAACATTGACCTCATTACAAATATTGAACAGAACTAACCTTAGCGTATAATACACTCTGTCCTCTATGAAGGAAATAAGAAGATTCAACATTGCCATATCCTTTACTTCATCGCTTTGGCATCCTACATGATAGGAAACCTAAAAAAACAAACAACCGATTATATATTCAATTCATTAACAAACTTATAACAGTAGAAGTTAGGGTTTCTCTTGCACCTTTGCAATATTATTAATCTTGTTTTTATAGAAGACTTTTTGGGCAGGTTTAGCCACAAATTGTTTTTTCTCTTCTTCTTTGTCTCTCAAATTCTCTGGGAGTGAAGGTATCCCCGGTGTCTTGAAAAAGTTTGAGATACTTTTTGCTTCAGATATCAAAATGTCTCCGAAATACAGACCTTCAAGATATATCTACAGAACATGGCAATCATCAGACATAAAACAGCAAACCATTGCTACAATACTAAAAGTAAGTATTTTACCTGGGAACGCTTATGTCTGATGTAGTTTTGGAGATCATTAAGAGAATATCCACTCAAACGTTCCATCTGCTGCTCATCTGCATTTTCTCCCATCTTCTCTTTAATAATCTGAAATACAAATTAAAACATTCATAAAACTTATGCAACAACTTGTATAAATTAGTAGATAAAAATTGAATAATACCTCAAGTCTGTCGACAGTTGGCTGAAAGTCAAAAAACTTCTCCCAAACTTGAGAAACACATAGACCCAACTTTTGTATGCTGCCATGAAATCCCAACTCTAGCCGGTTGTCACTAACACTGGTTAAATCAATCTTCATACCCGCTGATTTAGCCTGTAAACAAAGTATAACAATATCAATAAATAAAAGACAACCCAAAATTTCAATGGGATAAGGAGAAAGAGAATACACTTACCAAGAATATTATCTCACTCAATTCATCCTCAAGGAGATCCACAAAGAGTCTAGACTTCAAATCTCTATCAAAGCTATCACCTCCAGACTCCATAGGCTTTGTGAAAATGCAGAACTTCGCTACCGGCAACACCTTCTTGTGTTTATGCCACATCTTCATGAAAGGAGTATCCACGATGAGAGAGACATCTTCACCTTCAAAAGTAACATCTCTTAGAAGGAAGGGAGGAGACAATGTATATCTGTTCTTGGATGGCATATGCAATGCATCATCAACATGCTGAATATTCTCCCATTGGTTCAGAAACTCCTGTGGAATTTCCTCTTCAGTGTAGAGTGAATTGTATATAGGTTCAATCCTACATCCTGAAACAAATAAAAATTACCATGAGAATATGTGAGAAAAAATACATTAAACAAATTATCCTGTACCTGTTGATAAGCTGAATGATCTTGATTTTAAGTCAATCCTCATATTGATAGGGGTGAGTTGCTCCATAACTTCTTGAATCTCCTCAGGTTTCCACTCCATATTCATTCCATAATGCCCAGAAAGGACGTTTCTTATCTCATAATGAAGCATGTTCTCTACATATTAGAAAATTCCAAATTAAGTTCACCACAGCAATAATATAGATAAATACGAAAATACGAAGATACATAATTACAAACCTGAAAGACTATTTACTAATTCTTCTGGTGCTGTATCAGAGCTGTCAAAAAGGTCAAATTGCGATCTCAATGTCGTTTGATATTCCTCTATAACCCATTCTTCTGGAGGCGTGTCCCTCAACAACTTGAGATACTGATAAATGTATGTAACGATCTCATATTTCTGTATAATAAATGAACAAATTATATTAGTTTAAATTCGGAATAAGATAACATAAATCATAATCAAAATTAATTATAAACTTTGATTGAGAGTACCTTTTCAAAACCAGACCTAGTGAGATCCACCCGAACAGATATATCAGTGCCAATCACCGAGTCGCCAAATACACCACTAGTAGCTTCTACCGAAAATGCCAATCCTTGCTTCTTCAAAAACGCAGACAGGGATCCTTTGCTCACTAAATTAAAACATAAATATCAATAAGTAGTTAACTAGATTCAATCAGTAAGAACTATCAGAAAGAACTCACCATGTCCTAATAATTGAACTAGATAAACTTCCAGCCTTCTCGAACGGGAATGAAACCTACTTGGTATCATCCATGTAACATCCAAAAACTGAAAATATTCACGAGCCTCTAGCACATAGAGAGACCTAGGATTCCAAATAGGAAGACTTGCATCGAATTCAGGTACAACACATGTTGTCCCTTCTTTGATATCAGAGAAAAATAATTTCACCCAACTCTCTAGCACATCAAGATTTGCTGGAAACAATGATTAACATCATATCAGTATTAATTAGAAATTAGAAAAAGCATGAGGCACAAAAACTGAAAATTCAAGAATATACCTTTTCCTGTTACAGAAAACTTCATCAAACCGCCAAGATAAAACTTGTTAAAAAACTTGACAGTTTCCATACGAAGATCAGTCATGTTCTTGCCCAACGATGTTTTAGACCCTGGTAGATGAAAATATTAATTTACAACCCAAAATAATAGATAATTAAAAATATTGTAATTATAGTGTGCAAGTTTACCGATCATAAACCCATGTATAGGATGTCCATCTCTCGCTGTGTGAGCCATAAGCTGACTAAGACGCCAACTGTCGTGGTCTTTATTAAGTTCAAATTCTGCAAATACAATGTAACAGTCACGAATTAACATAAATGAAATTTAATGGATCAGCTTTTAAGTCTGGATTCTATTTACACAAACCTGCATTAACCGCATCTAATTCTTTTTCTACAGATTTGGATTCTAGTAATGGAGAAATAAACATCTGTGAAAACATGTCCAAAGCTTCTCGGAGGGAATCTGGATGAACAGTCAGATAGTATTGAGTACTCATATTGACTGTTGAAGCATTTGCTGAGCCTCCATTCTCAGCCAAGAAGTTGAAAATCTAGAAAGAAACAAAAACATTTAGCATTACCAGACATCTATGTTCTTATGGTTAAATAATACTGGCGGTTTACAATGTTACCTGGTTCTCTCCCGGAAATTTCTTAGAACCCAGGAAAAGCATGTGTTCAAGGAAATGTGCCATTCCTTGAAATTCCACGGGATCAAGGTAACTCCCTACTCTAACGCTCAATGAAGCTGCAGCCTTAGTAGCCATTGGGTCGGAGACAAGAATGGCTTCCATACCGTTTTCTAGCCTTATGTGTCTGTACTCTTTAGTAGTTGGAGGCAAAACGATGTCTGCAGATGCAGGAGCGAGAACGACAGGAGCCAGAACGATGTCTTCATCTGCCGGAGGCAGAACGATGTCTTCATCTCCAGGAGGCAGAACTGTGTCAGCCAGAACGATGTCTTCATCTGCCGGAGGCAGAACAATGTCTTCATTTATCCGTCTTCTTCTTCTCTTACGCGGACGGTAGAGTTTCTTGTTACGCCAAGGGTGGAGTTTGCGTTCTATGAACTTCCTATATATAGTCATCTATAAAAAACAGAAATCAACAAGTTCATATCATCATCTCCATAAAAATAAAACCAAACATCCATGGAAGTCAATGGTTTAAAAGAATATCACCAATCAGACCAAAAAACCATAGTAGGAAGCTAGCAATTCAAAGAACAAAACACACTAAGAACCTAAGCAAAAGTGAAAGACATGATATCGTGAAAACAGATCACATTTTAAACTGAATCAAAGACAAGCAACATATCACAGCGAACTATATACAAGACATGAAAGGCTTCAAAAAGAAAGCAAAGAAGTATTCTCTCTATCATAAGAAACATCAAAGCAACCAAATCTTGTTCTCAAGTTCTACGGTCCATTATACCAACTCATCTCTGGAGCACTCTCAAAGTATAGACATCAAAAATTGATGAAATCATAGCAAAACAAGCAAGAGCTTAGAGTACAAATAACAGTCGTGTTCTCCAAAACACAAATTGAGAAAGAAACAAACACAAAATTGCAGAAACTTAGAAACCATTTGTAAACTGAATCAAAGACAAGCAACATTCACAGCGAACTATATACAAGACATGAAAGCCTTCAAAGAAGTATTCTCTCTATCATAAGAAACATCAAAGCAACCAAATCTCATTCTCAAGTTCTACGGTCCATTATACCAACCATCAACTCATCTCTGGAGCACTCTCAAAGTTTAGACATCAAAAATTGATGAAATCATAGTAAAACAAGCAGGAACTTAAGAGTACAAATAACAGTAAACACAAATTGAGAAAGAAACAAACACAAAATTGCAGAAACTTAGAAACCATTTGAACACTGAAATCGCAGATTCAAAAATGGAAATATGTCAGTCAAGACTACAAGATCCAAGTTATAAATCAGATAATCTGGTTTTCCAGAGAGGAAATTCGACCTTCAAGAAAATCAATGACACAAAAAAGAAGCTCAAAGACCCAACCAACAGACCGATAAACGCAAGAAGCTTATTGAAACAAGATATTCTCAAACGATGAAACTCTAAAAGAGAAACTATAAACAACCAGAAATTTGACTAACCTGAGAGAAATCTCAAACCAGGAAGCCACAAATTTCCGAGATTTCCGATTACAGAGCTGAACTTGAAGAAGACGTAAAAACGAAAAGGGAAAGTAGTTTTTTAAGAGTGAAACCTAGAGCGTAGTTTTTTTTTGTTTGGTCTAAATCAAAGCTGTAATGAAAGTAGCTTATGAACATTAAACAGCGAATTAACGAAAAGAATTATAATTGTACACTAGAAGATAGTGTCTAGTCAAACCATATTGAACTTAATTCATATTAGAATTCACAAACCTTAAAATTTAAAACTAGATTGAACTAGCTAAGAGTGATAAATCCGTTGTTGAATGAACTAATTATAATTAAGAATAAGAATTTTAAAAAACTTAAGCAAACAGATTTTAAATATTTGTTTGTGATCCAAAAACTTCATGATTAAAAAAATAATCTTAGACTAAAGCCTTTGAATAAAACCAGCCAACAAATTTTCGATTATGTGTGATAAATCCTTTGTTGAAGAACTAAGGATAATCAATAATGAAAATTCAAAACATTAAAGCAAATAGTTTTTGAAGATTTGTTTGAATCAAATAACTACAAAAACATCAAAATTAAAAACATAATCTTTAGCCTACTCCCTTTGAATTAAGGCAACCAACCAACTGTAGATAATGGGATCAGAGGATTGGCTATGAACTTAAACCAACCAATTGAATCACCAGATTAGCCATCAATATAGACCAACCAACTCCGGATCTGGGACTAGCCATCAACTTAAACCAGCCAACATCCGGAGCAATGGATCTGGGATTTGCTATTAAAAACATTGAAAACCAAACTAAAACAACAAAAAAGAGATGAAAGAAAGAAATTAAGAATACTTGATAAGCCATAACTATACTTGATCAAACACAGAAGAAGAATGCTAGGTAAACGAAAAATATTATACTATATATCAAAGAGGAAGAAAAGAGTGGTGGAGGTTTATAAAGATCTGGAAATGAATAGAAAGATGAACAACTATACTTTTTTTTTTTTTGTCATCTGATCTTATTATTAGAAATTGAGTCGAACACTCAAAACTACGAACAGAGCTCAAGCCACTAGCCAGCATGGAAAGAAATCCATCCGGAGACAAAGCCCCAACACCGGGGAAACTTAAGGACTTACAGATAAAAATGACAGACTACAAGAAAGAACCCCAAATACAAAGTCATAAAACCAAATACTTTATCAAGCCAAAAACTAGACAGTTCTAAAACAAGAAGAAAGATAGTGAAGTATGCAAGAGAGGGAGGATACACCAATGCACTAAATCTGAAACAACTGATCCGAAGCCGACCACACCCTTACGCAAAGAACATAGGAGGAGCTGCAGCAAGCCGAGAAATATGAGAACCAAGAGATAGCATATATGCCTCCAAAGAACAACAAGCCTAGAGGCAAAGCCCACCTCGAACTCAACCAGCAACCACAAACGCAGCAAGGAGAATATAACAGCAGAGGAACAGAGCACAGCAACCAAAGTGAAACAGAGCCTCAAAAAATCGAAGCACCCGACCAGAGCCCAGACTCAAGGAAAAAACCTTGAAATCAGATGGGAAAACGACTAAGAGGCCCGACAGTTCTTACACGCGGACATTCGCGAGCCAGCTTCTGCAATCTTCAGACAAAAACTGATCACATCCTCGCAAGAGAAGAGCTGTAGAACGACACCACTGCAACATCGGAGAATCAAACCCGGCAACACAGAGCCACCAAAGAAGGACTAGAAGATCACACTGCAACGGAATACCATCCGAAAGTCGAACCCAAGAACTGAAACCAGACTCATACCAAAGCACCCAGACAACCGAAAACACTATCCAATCCAGAAGAGCAAGGAAACACAAACGCCTCTAGAGCAAAACCAACACCGCAAAGAAGTACCACAAACCAGAAACCATGCCCAAAATGAGAAATAGAAGCGACGAAACTAAAGCCGGCTCAAGCGGACACACCGAGAACGAAACCGTCGCTTCAAAACCGTCGCACCCTACTAAACAAAATTGAACGCAAACTCCATCTAAAAGACAACATGGGACCCTAAGAACTGCAAACCCACAGCCAAACAACTACACAAGAAGAATGAGGAAGAAGAACGAAATCCAAAAAAAACAGATCTAGATTCAGAAAATCAGATCTAGAATTTCAGATCTCACTCTAACAGCCTCAAAAAGACCAAAGAAACAAAAAGGACAGACGAAAGCAGCAATCTAATGGTACCACCATCGAAAGGATGAAGGCACCGGAGCAGCAAACCGAAAAAATTGACACCAGAAAAATCGCCTTATTCTAGAGAGGTTTTTCACATGCTCAGCCACCATTCAACAGGATCATACAAAATCACAATTTTTTTAGAGGACGAGATGAACAACTATACAGTTTGGAGGTTTCTTTATGAAGAATAAGTATTGGGTAGGAAAAGGTCAAGGTGCAATAAACAACACGCGTCGTTGTTTTCATATTGTATAGTATTTAAAGCTATTTCAATTTCTCGAGTGTCACGTCTCTTTTTACAAGTGGGTCACATGCATGCGAATCCCTCTGTCCCGTTGCACTAACTACCAATTATTTCATTCTACCAAAAATGTGGTAAATATATGACTATCTAACAAGTCAAAGAAAGACATACAAGAATAAAAATAGTTTGATTGTGACTAAACTAGTCGTTGTATATTTAGAATTTGAAATTTGTTTTAGATTTTATACGAAGATCATTGTGTTGTGTATTTTTTTTTAAAGAGAATAATAAGAAACACAAAAAGATATATAGAATATGACGACCATTGATGAAAATTGAAAGTAAATGGTATGATGAAAAGAAATGAGCATCACAAAATAGGAATATGGAGGAAGATAGTGGAAAAAAGCTATTTATTCCTTTCTTGCCAATATCTCCTTCTTTCCACCTCTTTTCTCTTTTACATCTAATTTTTGTTATCACCTGCAAAATTTAAAATTCGAATTCACGACACTTGTGCGATTTGTGATCTTGCGATTCTTTACTCAAGATTCCTCTGTTTCTTTTTCTCTACCGGAAGTAATGCAAGTCGTTGCAATTTTAATATAGATGCATAAATTCTAGTTGTATTTAAAACTATTAAAATGGATAAAAAATTAGTAACATGTCTCTACGTACATATATTGGTCTCATGATTAATCCGGCGTAATCCGTCTCAAAAGCTTTAAAGTGTAATTTGATGTTGTAACATGCTTGCCAGCTCCAAATGAAAAAAAGAAAGGCTTTTAGCTTTGAATTTGTGCACTCTAACAAAAAAAACCTTTTGTTCTTCTTTGCAAATGATGAATGATCCATCCCTAACCAAAGGAGTTTTCTAGTCTTTCACGATCCATCTATTTGACATTTTACACCATTTCTTGGTATTGGTATCTCATTATATCCGAGTTGTTCTGTAAAATGATTAACTTAAAACTAAACCATGGATTCTATCGTTGCATCACATGATCTAATATATATAGCAGATCACAATGACACAATCCAAACTCTAATGTTTTTTGGACGTCCAAATTCGACTCAAAGTCCTATATTTAATTTCTTTGTTTTTTTAAGTAATCAATGTCCCTGAATATAATCTAAGAAAATTTCTCTACTGCCGATGAAATCCTAAAAAAGAAAAACCAAACTTGTGTAAGACATGTGACCGTGGTGGGGCGTGGGCATTCTAAAAACACATGATTAAATTATAGATCTTTAGAAATAAATATAGAAATATGATTTTTTTGTTAAGTAATTGTAAATAGGAAATGAATTTTTACGTATAAAAAAATGTATTTTCTAAATGCTCCTTTAATATATCTTTGATCATTTTCTTATTAAACATAGGGACATAACACAAAGACGATGACACTAACATTAAAAGAAAAAAATATAACTACAATTTTTGAGATTTGATTTTCGAAAGTAATCATTAAAACTTTCCCCAGAATTGATAAAATATATATTAATTAGGATAGATATACAAATAGCATATATATACAACTGGTATGTTTTCCTCCAACTGTACAATTCATAGTCTTTTTATAATTCATTGAATTTTGATCATAAAAGGAAAAAGAAAAGTGGAGGGCGAAGAGAAGAAGAAAAGCCACGAACGTTTCTCTAAAATTCCTTTGTGGGTTTTTTTTTTATATTTATTTAATTTCGTCACACTCTTTTATTTCTTTCATTTTTACTCTCCCTTTCCTCATCACTCTTCTTTTCTCCGATTGAAAAAAACTTCCGGAGAAATTTCTCTTTGTTGCTGCTTTTGCTGCAGTTACAGTAAAGGTGATTTCCTGGGTTTCTTACCTCCAAAAATCTCTCATCTTTTGGCTTCAGGAAACGAGTTGCTCTTGTGCCTAGCTCGATCTGTTGTTTCTTTAGCTCTGTGCATGATTGATTCCGTGTTTGTAATCATCGTTTTAGCTCGATCCTTACTCCGTTTTGATTTTTCAACCCTGATCATCGTTTTAGCTGGTGTTTTAGGTGCTTTATCTTGTTTATAATTCGGCTTCAAATTAGTTTACTTTATTTTATTCGCTTGTTTATGTAATCTAAAACATGTATCAACGATTGCATATGTTTGGTGTAGAAACATTAGTGATGTGAAGTATTTGATTGTTTTGTACAGAATCTGCTGTGTAAGGAAGTTTTTTGTTGGGGGAGTGAGTTTCTTATGACGGGGAAGCGATCTAAGACTAATTGCAGATCTTCTTCTCACAAGCTGTTCAAGGATAAGGCAAAGAATCGTGTTGATGATTTGCAAGGGATGATTTTAGATCTTCAATTCGCAAGGAAAGAGAGCAGGACCACTGATGTGACACTGCTTGAGGAGCAAGTGAATCAGATGCTCCGCGAGTGGAAATCAGAGCTCAACGAGCCATCTCCTGCATCATCCTTGCAACAAGTATGGTTGATTTCGTTCTTGTTGATTGTTGTAACTTGCATGCTTGGTTTCTGGTCTTTTGTGAAAACATATGGCTTTTATTTTCTTTGCTGTTTCAGTCATTGTTAGTTCATGTGTCGTCTTGTTTTGCTTAGCAGGGTGGTACTCTTGGGTCTTTCTCATCAGACATTTGTCGGCTGCTGCAGCTCTGTGATGAAGAAGATGATGCAACCAGCAAGTTAGCTCCGCCCAAGCCCGAGCCTGCTGATCAGAATCTCGAAGCTGGAAAAAATGCTGTCTTCCAAAGGGTTAGTTGCTCTTTAGATCAAATCTCTAGAAACTATTTCTTCTAGTTGTTTGTGGAGACATTATTGTGTTTTAATACTCTTGAGGGCGTGGTGAATCTTGACAGGGATACAATTTGGTTCAGGGAAAGCCAGAACATGTATTTCCATTGGCTGATCATTGCAAAGATCCGTCCTTAGTAGCTGGAAACAACTTCAATGGAACCGCTCATTTGGAATACAATCAGTATGACCTGCAACAGGAGTTTGAACCAAACTTCAGTGGTGGTTTCAACGATTGTCCCAGTTATGCTGTAGAGGGTCCTTTACATATCTCTACTTTCATCCCAACTATCTGTCCTCCACCCTCTGCGTTCTTGGGTCCAAAATGTGCTCTTTGGGACTGCCCTAGGCCTGCTCAAGGTTTCGATTGGTTCCAGGATTACTGCAGTAGCTTCCATGCTGCACTGGCTTTCAATGAAGGCCCGCCAGGTATGAATCCCGTGGTGCGTCCTGGAGGTATTGGCCTAAAAGACGGTTTGCTTTTTGCTGCTCTTAGCGCAAAGGCTGGAGGGAAAGATGTCGGTATTCCCGAATGTGAAGGAGCTGCAACTGCTAAATCACCATGGAATGCCCCAGGTAAGATTTTTGTTCTGTTCGGTTTCCATGGAATGTACACACCATTCTTGAGCTGAATATGTAAACTCAAGTCTTGATTTTCTGGTGTAACTGTAGAGCTCTTTGATCTCACGGTTCTAGAGAGTGAGACACTAAGGGAGTGGCTATTCTTTGATAAGCCAAGGAGGGCCTTTGAGAGCGGGAACAGAAAGCAAAGATCTTTACCAGATTACAACGGTCGTGGTTGGCACGAGTCTCGTAAACAGATCATGAACGAGTTTGGAGGGCTGAAGAGATCTTACTACATGGATCCGCAGCCTCTGCACCATTTCGAGTGGCATCTTTATGAGTACGAGATCAATAAGTGCGATGCTTGTGCCTTGTACAGGCTCGAGCTCAAGCTCGTTGATGGAAAGAAGAACTCAAAAGGCAAAGTATCAACCGAGTCCGTGGCTGATCTGCAGAAACAGATGGGAAGACTCACAGCTGAGTTCCCTCCAGAAAACAACACCAATCATAACAACAACAACAAACGCTGCATCAAAGGAAGACCAAAAGTGAACTCAAAAGCTGCTACAGGGAACGTTCAGAACACAGTAGAGCAGGCCAATGACTATGGAGTAGGTGAAGAGTTTAACTATCTTGTCGGAAATCTAACCGACTATTATATCCCCTGAGAAGAAAACTAAAAGAACCTCAGGTTTGAGAAGCTGTTGCTTACCATTTAATCTGGCAGCAGCAGAAGAAGAAGCTTCTACATCTCGTAGGGCAAGTAATGGATTTTCATGACTCGTATATTTCTTTTTTTTTTTAATTATTATAATTCTCACTATCCAGAGAGATTATGTATATATAACAAGAAGGGGATGCAGAAGACTGTCCTGGAGTTTGAGAGCTTTGTTCTAACCCCGAAGGCAGGAAAAGTAAAGTTGAGAAGGAGACTGCTTTTTAAGATTCAGTCTATGAAGGTGAAGACGGTATATTTACTGACATTCCGGTTTATGTATTTTGATGCATTTTCGACTCTCTGTTCTGCGATAAAATGCAGATGACGAATTATGTAACCGATGGGCAATACGGTTTGATTATCTTTATCGTTCTTATACAATCAAGATCCTCTGTTGAATGGCATAACCGGTCTTGTTCTTAATCTCTGTTTCTGGTTTTGGATTTTTGTTGATTTTTCTCCAAAGAGCTATTCAAGGATCAGGCTATCACGTTCTCACTGATCTTTAGCGGGAATCATAAGCCTAAGACATTTTTATTTCATAGACGCGAAATGTTATTTAAGGTACATGTAATGTAAAAATTTCATCTAAAGAGACTAGGCACTCGCTTATGATTATTGTGGCAATAATGGTCTGACCAGTGCAAAAGGATGCTCTGAATTCACAGACATTAACAATTCCAACACAACTACTCTTGTCGGAGGGCTACTCTTGAGACCAGGCTCAATCAGCCCTGCAACATAAATAATGAACACCGCACCATCACAATCAGATAATCTTCAAGGATAAGAATGCAATTGAAAATTAAGGAATTGAAAGAAGAGAATCATGAAATTACCAGGCGAGAGTTTTCTTCCGCTGTAAAGTTCTTTGGCTAAAGGATTAGCAGCCCAGTGGTTCACAGCCACCCGGCTAGTCGGTTGGAACCCTATAATTTTACCTTCAGATGATAACACTACCTGCTTCCATTTAAAGAACCAGACAGAGAAATTAAGGATCATGAAGATTTTGCTATTAATGAAAGGATGAGACACATTTCACTAAAATTACCTGGTAGGTTGCGATATCTTGCGCAGATGCCTTTGCGTCTTCATTGAGTTTATCCAGAAGAGAAGAGCTTCTAACGATGTGGTCTTCAACGGATTTAGCTCTGCTGATTTCTTTCAAGTAATCAGGTACTTCCCCAATCCAGGCACCTATGCTGCTTTCTAGGGATATTTCCCCTACCCAGCAGTAGGCATCTTTGAGCTTGTTGACAAGTAATCCGCAAAATGAATCCAACTGCTCATTTGTAGTTTCAAACTTTAGTTTCATTTCAAATTTAAGATGATCTCAAGAGTCCATATGCAGAAATTATTGAACAAATAATATATAGGTCTTGCATTGTTACTGTATATATTTTGGATGGTTTACTTATTCATGTCAAAGAATTTACTAAAAATGGCAAACCGGTACTTTGTTTTATGTGATCAAGTGAATTAGAGCTCTCCTACAAAACTATTATTGACTAAGTGCATTTGCTGGCCTACGAATCTATCTGAACTCGTGTGTTTTGGTGTCCATACCTCTGAAGAATCTGAAGATTGATGAGATAACAGTTCACTCTCTGACCACAAAGTATCTTGGCGTTTTCCAGGATAATTTCTCACGGTTTTCGGCGGAATACAGAATTGAGCCGCAGCACTCACAGCAAGAAGAAGAATTCCACTGGCCATGGTGACAGATATCATTTTCAACATAGACAATCCTCTCTGTCAATAGAGATGAGCAAACCAAAAAAGTTAACAGAAGTTTCACAGGAAAAGTTACCAAACCTAAGCCAATCTTATTAAATCATACAGTAATTGCCTATGTTACATACACATTACCAGGTACCAAAGTATCATAACCAAAAGATTGGCAAAATTTTAGTAGTCCAGTAGTCAATACCTTTTGACTGGGTAAGTTTGCATAATCTCCAAAACCATCACATGGTAGCTGTTTCCTGGGCAGTGAGTATGTATCTTCAAAGTAAATATCCAATGCTTCAGCCAACCCAACCTAAAGAGTTTAATACAAGTGTCAGGAATGTAGGGGACCTCATGAAATAACATGCGTGGAAACAAAAACATTATTAACTAGAGAGCACATAAAAAAAGGAGCAGTACAAGCAATTCTATTGCACCCGATGGCAGGATTGATAATATATTTCATCTTCCTAACTCTAATTACCACGCAATCTATCAGCACTTCCTTGTTACGTTAATAGGGTAAAGGAATGACTATTATTATGATGGAATATATCATCTCCTTTAATTTTGAACTATATTTGTACTCTATATTTATACTTGAAAAACAATATAATTTGGTTCATCATGCAACTGAGAACAACCAAGAAGATGGTAACCTAGATCTTTAGAATGTATTTCCAAATGAAGAGACATGCTAGCCAGAAAAATATATCAAAGAAGAGCCACGCTGCCATTCCATGTCTCACAAAGTATCAAGAACAAAAGCCTAGTTGGCGTTAAGAAGGGGAAAATGTCGATACCATTTGGGAGTGGGTTAGAAGAACCTCCCACTTATTTTCACTGGACTTTCTCCAGCCTTCAAGCTTCAGGTCCCCAAGTATTGCAGTATCAATCTCTAGTCGATATGCGGGTAGACATTCACTTGCCCAATTACTAAACCCAGGGCCACCAATTTTTTCCAACTTAGATTTGGCAGAGAAGTTCCACCACAGACTTCTTTGCCTTGTGTCTGAATTTTTGAAGTTTTCCTTCCTTAATTGGAAATACTCAAGCAGGTGACTGCTATTCTCGTTTAGCTCATCAACAAAGACCTTATGCAGGACAACCGAGCAGTCTCTTGAAGAAATCCTCCTGTGTTTCGTTAACCACTTGAAAAAAGGAAACTTAGCTCTTCCAAGATAATCATCGAGGAAATGCTTCTCAGTGCTTTGAAGAGCGGAGATGCATATAACTTCTGCAATAACAGATATAACCCGTTCATCGGATGAGCTAAGAGTGAAGGATGTAGAAACCTGCTGATACGAAATGAATAAGACAAACTGAACCTATCAGTATCAATTTTCAATTTTGCAGGCCAGTATCAGTAGAAACATCACATCAAAGCGAAGTTAACCTCTCGAGGATTTTCGTAATCTCCCATTTCTCTTTCAGCTCCAGGTCCAAACAACACAAGCTGGAAGTTCCACAGCTGTCGCAGAACAACTTGCCTAAAAGTCATCGCAAGTATGTTCTTTGACAAATCTCCGCTAGTAAGATCCTCGGAGAGAGACCTCCGAAGTCTTCTCGCTCGCTCTTTAACTTTCTGAGTAGGCAAGAACTGTCCCAAAAAGATATCTTGTAATGTCAAAACTCAAGTCTTCAAAATTCAGAATCAAAAGCAGATGAATTTCAAATTAAGAGCTGGAGAACTGACCAATCGGGTTGAGACAGTAGCCTTAGGATCGGATCCACCGGGAAAAACAGTCTCGACCACCATGACAGGGACATTTTCACGAAGGTGGTCATCGGCGGCTTCACCACCGTCGGCGGCAGCCGCGGTTAAAGCTTGATCAAAAGCTACTGTACCGACGAGACTGAGCCGAGCTGAATCGTTCTCGTAAGTCCGCACGCATGGAAGTGCCTTCCCGTCGGAATTCGCCACGAAACGGAGAATGTCCTCCTCGTTGGTAGTGGCCGGAGAAGGATTCCTAGAACAAGACCGTATGAAAGACACGGAGCTTCTCCGGAGTGGAATTAATGGCACAGATGTGAAATTTCGAGAGGGGAAGAGAAGAGAAGAAGCAGTAGAAGCCGAAGCCATTGACAGTGTCCCTAAACCCTAAGGGGGTTTTTTCGAACGTTTGTGAGGTCGACGAAGCAACTTAACCGGCGTCGTTTCGGGTACACCACGTGTCAGTGGCAATAGTAGAGTTACATTAGAGAGAGGTTAAAAGCATTTTTCAACATCTGAAAGAAAGAAGAAAGACGACGACAATGGCGGAAAAGAGCCAAATCCCCGATAACAACAACACAACTTCTTCTTCTTCGTCGGCGAAGAAACCGGCGCCGGAGATTGGATCGGGTTCAAGCTATTCGGGTCAGAGGATGTCGTATCCTAACCGGCCCGAGTCGGTGAATCCGGATCAGGCGACGCTGAGGGAGCAGTGGAAGTTCGCGATGAGGCAGTACAGCAAGTGGTACTCACACGCTTGGGGCACCGCGATTCTCGCCGGAGGTGTCTTTTTCGGACTCGGCTGGATCATTAAAGGCTCTAATCCTCTTCCTTCACTCCAGTCGGGTTCTAAGACTCCTCCTGCTTCTGAACGCGACGAAGAAAAATGATTCTGTGTCTGTGTTTCCTGGTGAGATTCCTCTTGTTCAAATTGAGTATCTCGATTCTTAGGTTTAACATTTCTTCTTGATTACGGGTTTAGGATTAGTCGAAAAGGGATTGGAACTAATTTCATGATGCATCCAAAAACTAATCAGAGGAGCCTAACTTTTCAAGAGAATTGTTTAAATATGCTCTAGTGTGATGATATGTACATTCTATAATTGTTATAGCTTATAGAGGTTCTTTAATTCTACTGAACCACGCTTTGCTTGATCCAAAAATATCGAAATGTATATATATGAACTCTGTTCTGATGCTCTTAGATGATAAGTTCAAGATTGAGTTTACTTTGAGCTATTACCAATAACCTCTATTTGCAGGTGAGGAAAAGCAGCATGAGGCGCGAGTTGGTGCATCAAGAATGGCCATGTTCATGTACATTTTGAAGGAAAAAACGATCGTTGGAAGCAGAGAAAGGACAAAGCAAGCGATTGTAGAGTAGAAAAAAAAGACGTGTGTGTGTAAACTTTGTTTTATCTGATAATTCCAAGAATGTATACAAATTTGCAGGAAATTAGTGAAAATGTTGATGTTGAGTGATTAAAATACAAGAAAGAAAGAAAGAAAGAGAGAGAGGTCTCTGTGTGTGACTCTGTTTGTGTGTGTGTGTCTAAGCAGAGCAGCAACCAGGTTTTTTAACGGCTGAGATATCATCTCGGCTTCCGACATTAATCATCTGTCCTTTAGGCAAAGCAGTGGTAGGATCATCTCCAGCTTCAAGAGCCTTCTTGCTAACGACTCTGTAAATCTGAGTGAGAACTTCGGTGAAAGCATTATCAACATTCACAGCTTCAAGAGCAGAGGTCTCCATGAAAAAGGTATTCTCTCTCTCTGCAAACGCCTTAGCTTCCTCTGTTGAGATAGCTCGAAGATGACGAAGATCAGCTTTGTTACCAACCAGCATTATCACGATGTTTGCGTCCGTGTGATCCCGTAGCTCCTTTAGCCATCTCTCTACGTTCTCGAACGTCACGTGACGCGTCACGTCGTAGACTAGCAACGCACCAACGGCTCCTCGGTAATATGCGCTCGTGATGGCTCGATACCTAATTGTTGAATTTTGATCAATCAAGAAAAACGTAAATTAACGTTTTAAGAGTAGAAGACGTAGTAGTTTTTTTTTTCCTTTCTTGTTTTTGTTTTTTTTTTACCTTTCTTGGCCGGCAGTATCCCAGATTTGAGCCTTGACGATCTTATCGTCGCATTGGATGCTACGTGTGGCGAATTCGACACCGATGGTGGCACGTGAGTCGTGGCTGAAGTCGTTTCTGGTGAAACGAGACAAGAGATTAGATTTTCCGACACCGGAATCTCCGGTTAAGACTACCTTGAAGAGGTAATCATAGTCGTCTTCTGCTCTATATGCTCCCATCTTCTCTCCAAACTTTAACCTCTTTTTGCTTTATGAGGTTGTTCTCTTTAGACAAACAATGACAAAAAGTTATTTGGCTGTTCCAAGAACTTCCGATGACGATCTTCAATTCCCAAATGTTTTTTTTTTGGGTTCTAAAAACAATTAGTTTTGTTTTGTGTGTTTTCTGTTGTTTTTAACGTTTTCTAAATTAGAGAGGATTTCTATTTGAGTTTTGAATTTGGGAGGACAGCGAGAGGTACCAGAAATTCAAGGAATCTCCTCTACTTTTTTTTTTTGTTTTGTTTATCTTATTGCAATGATCGGATTGGCTAAACATAAACATTTCTAATTTTTCTTTTGTATTAACGAGAAAACCACTCTACTGTAAACAATGCAAATATAAAATAATTCTACTGTAAAAATTCACTTTCTTAATTTTCGACAAAACCATACATTTGATTTATTTTAATCTCATTGGTTTATTTCTGGTTTGAGAGATTTCGCTTCAATTTGGTTTGGACCGGTTAATTTCCATCAAAATTTCCTGCGAGACTCGCAAAGTGTTATAAAATATGCCAAGACAAGACTCAGGTCTTCTTCTTGCATCTACAAAGATTGCTCCTTTCTATCTAAGGATACTGCAACAAGAAGAACCTCTTTACTCATACACATAATCAAAGACTGGGAAGTCACATTTAAGAGAGCTTCCCTCGTTGTGCAGCTGGTCAAAACACATATCACAGAAATAGCAAGGATTCTCTTTTGCCCACTTGTCATCCAATGCGACCTTAGTAGCTCTATATATGCTGCAAACGCCGCACTTATGAGCCTTAACTTTCAATCGATACGTGAGTCTCGGGTAAGCCGCTCTGTTCTGAACATCCTCTGGATGACTCAGCCTCATGTCCCGTATCACTATCATGTGCTTGCAATCTCCCTGTTCAATTTATTAATCAATACATATGTTTTGGCTATTCAAAATGTTAGGATGGGAATCCAAGGAACAAAGAAATAAAAAAAAGGGTTTTTACCTGGTGACAATAAAGATAACTAGCTCCGAGTCTGAATCTTAAATCACAGAAGCGTGTACTCTGCATGTCTGCAGATCCGAAACAAGGTAAACCCATGGCTTTCTGTTCACCTAGAACAGCTTTCTGCTTTTGCTTTAATTCTCCGGTTATAATACCTTCCCATTTTTTAACAGCTTCATCTTTTGAGTTCCAAAGCCAATCTAATATAGGTTTGCTGTAATCTGTTGCTGAGGGACTCCTTAAATCATTGTGAAAGATATCCTAATCAAGCAAAACAAATTTCTGGTTAAATCACAAAAGAAGAACTAAACTTAGTTAGCCATCAAAATATAAGAAAATGAACAGATTAATTCTTACTTCAATGAGGAAGTATCCAGAGGGATCATATTTTCCAGCCTTTTCCATCACCTGATTTGTAAGGCAGTGTATCTTGTCCTTTAATTCAGTCAACACTTGATGTCCTAGAACCAAAAATTCTTGGGTCTGAACAAAAAGTTTCACAAAGATAGTAAATTGTGTTGCATATGTTTGCCTCTATGTCTAATTAACTCTATATAAAACTTTTGTATCCGCATGGGCTGAAGAAGGCTTTGATTTCTCAAAAAATATCAAAAAGTGCATTAAGGATTTACAGAACAATACAGTACCTTTGATTTGCGACTGTTATAAATCTCAACACACAGAATGACTTCAGGAAATAGCGTATCCACCGGCCCCTGGATGTCTGATGGCTTAACCCCCTGTCTAAATAGGAAGATGATAATGTTTAGCAGGATTCATGAGCAGTGAGTAGCACATTCAAAAAAAAAAAAAAAATTGCAAGAGAAGATCACTTGCCTTATATTTATCTATGGACTTGAGAGATTGCATCTGCTTCAAACCTTCTGGAGATAAACTTACATCTTCATCATCTTCACAAGTTTTGCTGAACGAAAGTTAAAATAGGAACATCAGCGCAAACATATAAGGTACATCAGAAAACCAGGTAATGCAGTAGTAACCACAGACCTGAAGCAGTGTAGCCTCACATCTGCTTTATCCTCTTCCTGCTTTTGTTTGAGTTTAGCAAGCTGCTCTACCTTGGCAATATAAGGTTCCTGAATACAAAAATGACTATATCAATCATAAAAGAAGCAATAAAGCCATCAGCTTGACTACTCCATCTCTCATTCCTTGTTGAACCAAGTCAGTAACATTGGTAAGAAAACCGTGAAAATGTGGTATCAAGAGGTGCCAAACGAAAATAGGCATTGGAAAAGAAACTAAGCTAATCACCATGTTACACAAACTCACCTCAGTCTTCTTCTTTTTTTTGTTCACCTCATTCTTCTTCTTTTTTTTGTTCACCTCAGTCTTCTTTGCAGTCCTCTTCCTTGTTGTCATTCTTCCATTTCCATCTGATGGATTTTCACTGCATGATGCATAGGCTAACCATTCGTTACCATTCTACAAGAGTCTAAGTCAACTTTATTTGTCTCTATAATCTAATATTGCAACGTAACAAAGCTGAAACAAAACTTAAGATGTATATTGGAAGCAATCACAGCAGAATCAGAACCAAGTGAGTCTGTGAACAAAAACGTAACCACCAACGAAGCACACTAATAGAAAGCTACATCCACAATTCGTTTTTACCAAGGATTCAACACAAGAAGGAGCAGCATAATAACTTACGGATGAGAAACGATGGAAGATTGTTCGAGCTCATTTTGAGATGGGTTATCTTCCTGTAATGAAATGAAAACCAACATCATCAAGACCCAAGTTCTTCTTACACTCCAAAAGACAGCGAAAGAAGACAAATAAATCAAATTCACGATTTGGCTAAGTACCTGAAAGGCTTCCTTCATAGCCATATCTGTAAGTTCCTCCTCAGTATAAATCTTGAGCGTATCAGTTCTGCATCAAAATCCCAGTTACGCAACTATACGGATTAAACAACAATAGAGAGAGACAATTAATTGACGACATGAATACGTACGAGAGATCAAATGGCTGAGAAGAGGAAGGAGATTCTCGAGACAAGTGAGTCTCCAAATCCTGAAGTAGATTCAGGAAAGAAGACTGAAACTCGGGGACTGTAGAAAGATCTCCCACCATGTCTGGCAGAAAAATTGGGCCTCCTCTTGGTATCCCTGAAGAACCCATCTGCTCACTGCTCTCGCTCTCCATATCCGTTTCACGCGGCGACGACTAGAGGGTCTGTGAAGTTCTTAGAGGACGAGAGAATCGAGGTTTTTAAAGTTTCGGTTTTTTTGAAAAAGAACAGTCTTTTTGTGAGATTTTCTAATGGAGTCTACAAATCCTCAGGAAACGCTAAATTAGGTTTTACAAGGATTGCAATCAATCGAAGGAGCTCTTCATGGAGGGTGAGAAGGTTTAACTACAAGACGAGAAATCGAAATCAAATTTGAGGAGGTAAGAGACTATTGCAATTTGCGAATGTTCTTCGTCTCTCTATTTCAATGTTTATTTATATATATATGAAGCTGAATAAAAAAACAATCCGGTTCAGTTATTTAACCGGTGGTGTATACAATTAGTCACCTTACTAGTCGATTACTCATCAAACCGGAAATAAATCACTGATACAACTCGCATCAATTCACCTACTGCTAAGAGAATACTGTTTACGTGATGATATGTTCTTGAATTCAAAGCCGAGGCAAGACCAGTCGAAAGCAGGAACCGTGTAGTTACCCTCGAGTAACCCAAGTGCGATCCACCGGTACGCAGACTCGGTCAAATGAAAACCGTCCCAATGCACATACTTTGAAGGATCAACACAACAATCCACTCCTTTAGTCCCACACTGTCTAACACTATTAAACTTGTACGGACCTCCTGATCCACAGCAAGCTGACAAGGGTCTGTTCATGAACCCTGATCACAACAAAAAACTGGTTTGTTAGATTGGTTTAATCGGAGGACAAATAGTCAATCGAGGATTTAACCGAGTTAGGCTATAACCGAATCTGGTCGGTTCTTGGAAGGTATGCAACAAGGCGTTGTGGTAATCAGCGTAAAGGATTGTAACACGAGGGTTAAGTCTCTGGAGTCGGTTAAGTTCTGCTTGAAGCTCCTCGTTGTGACGTTCTATAAACTCGTTTAGCCATTTCAAACATCCTGTTAAAGGATCGTATTCTTCTTGGTTCGATGTTTGATACTGTGTTAGAAACGATGGCCAGCATCCGATTGGGAAGTCTGAAGGCACCAGGATTGTTCTGCCTCCCATGCTGATTAACTCCTGTATTGTTGTTATATGCGTTCAAGATTCCGTCTCACAACACAACTATATGCAGAATCAAGAACTGGATTAAGGTTTTGTAAGAGAGAATGTTTACCGTAACTACAGAAGAAATAGTACTGATTACAAGCGGAACCAGCTCTTTCATCTCTACGATGCTTTTTCCAACCAAGAACCCGTAGTTATAATCATTCCCTCCGATTTCTCCAACGATAACCAAAGCATTTCCAATCATTTCTCTGCAATCTATAAAGAGACCATTACAAGTGAGAGCTTTGTTGCATTGCATCTCCGGGGTTATTTAACAAGAAAGAGTAAGATCTCAAGGTTCAAACCATAAAGAAGCTACAAAAAAATGACAACTTTCTAGCTTTTTATTATAACTCTACTTCTAAGCCAATTCTAGAAAAGATGTTGATCTTACCTGAAGGTGAACCACAAAGATTTGGTAAACTCTCCTTGAAGCTCTGAAGCTGAACTCGTAAGCTAACGTTGGTGTAAGCATAATGGATTCCTCTGCTCTCAAGAAAGACACGTTCCAATGCCGTTGCTCCTGCTACAGCGAAATTAACTCCTTTCTCAAAGCTTCCATTTTGAGATCCAAAGTAAGGAGGCACATAAGGAAGTCCCAAAAATTCAGCTGCAAAACAGATCCCAAGAAGAGAACCAATTAAGATTTCATACTGTTTAACTTGCACTTCAAGAGAAAGAAAGAAAACAGAGAAAGAGCATAAGACTAAACAGTTTTAGAACAAATCTTTGAAAAAACTAAACAAGGATTAGTAATAATTAAGGTTTACAGAGTGACTTCATCATTAATACAGAATCGAGAAGATGCTCCAAATTGTTAAGGAAATTCGATGTTCATGTGCTCACTCCTTTGTGGGTTGTTCATGAACATTCAAGAAAAGAAATTCACAATCAATTAGAGAGAGATAAAGAAAAAAAAGGAGAATTACCGATGAAGTCGATGATGAGGCGGCCATTAGAGAAACGGCCGGTGGGGACGTGGAAGAAAGTTTCTCCGTAAGGAGGAAATGCGGCTTGAGGAAGATCGTTAGCGTCGGAGAGACCGAGCAAGTTTCCGGTGTCGGTAATCGAATCGCCGAAGCTGATAATCGATTTGAATTTCCGACACTGTTGTTCTGAGCTTACGGATGTGGTTAGCAAAGCAATCAGAAAGAATAATGTTCTGAGTTTCTTGAATAGATGAGAGGTTAGAGAAGCCATGGAAGAGGACTGTAAGAAAAAGCAGAGCAGCAATATGGCCATTGTTGGGGGAGGGATTTGAAGTTTGAGGACAAGCGTCTGTCTTCGTGTCTTTATCTACTCATTAATTCACAGACACTGCCAAATGCTAACAACCCACTTCACAAAAATGGATTTTTCTTGTTTCCTTGTACATAACTTTTTCAAAAAAACTCTCTCCGATATGGTTTGGAAAGTAATAAAGATTTGAAAAAGGTCATAAAGATGGAATTTTTTTGGCCATATTACTTATGTCATTTAAACACGTTGGAACAAACATGTTTTCATCATCTATCTCTCAACTCTCAGACCAACTTACATCAGTTGTTCATCAAGACCGTTATTCTTAATTTCAGAGCTGAGGCAAGACCAATCGAAAGGTGGAATCGCATAAGGTCCTTTAAGTAAACCTTCAGCTATCAATCTGTAAGCAGACTCAGTCAAATGAACACCATCCCAATTCACGTACTTTGTAGGGTCATTACAACACTCAACTCCTTGAAAGCCACATTTCCTACCAAAGGTGAAGTTGTACGATCCTCCTAAACCGCAACAAGCGGGCAATGGCCTGTTCATAAACCCTGAATATTGTACAACTAACTTGGTTAGTGAATCTAATCAATATTGAACATGGTCGTGTAGGTTCCAGAAGTTAGGATCAAGAAGGCTAACCGAATTTGGCTGGTTCTTGGAAAAGACGTGACACAGCGTTGTAGTAGTCTGCGTATATGATGTTGACATGAGGGTACAGCTTTTGGAGCTTGTTGAGTTCTGCCTGAAGCTGCTTGTTGTAGTATTCTCCAAACTTGTTCAGCCATTTCAAACATCCTGTTTTAGGATCGTATTCTTCCATGTTCGATGTTTGATATATTGTCAAATAAGCTACTGAGCATCCGAGTGGGAAATCTCCGGGAACCAGAAATGTTCTTCCTCCCATATTGATCAACTCCTGTATTATGCTTTCTATATTCAGTCCTTAAAACAAAAACCAGAAAAAACACAAGCTTGTGCTTTCGTTGTTCCTTGGACAGGCTCGATGAGGCATTCAAACATGTATACCTTGATTGCAGAGGAAATAGAACTGATAACAAATGGAACCAGCTCTTTGATCTCTTGGATGGGTTTGCCCAAGAAGAATGCGTAATTATAGTCATTCCCTCCAATTTCTCCCATGAGGATCAAAGCATTTTCCATCATATCTCTGCAGTCTAAAACAACAAAATAAGCCATTATTTCCCAAGTGAACTGAATTCATTGCAGTTCAACAAAAACTGGTAAGATCTCTAAGCACAACCCAAAACAGAAGGAGTATTTTCCCTTTATTTTGTGGTGACTCTCTACTTCTAAACCAAATCTGTATTATGAGTTGAGCTGCAAGAAGCTTCAAAAGCATTATATAAAGGCTGATTTTGAGATGAACTGAAATACTGATCAGCTCGAGAGGGATATCGTTAAAGAATAAGAATTGATATTCTAATCAACTAAAAACAGGAAATGAAGAAAAAAAGTTGATGTTCCTCACCTGAAGAAGAGCCACATAAGTTGGGCAAACTATCCTTGAAGCTCCTAAGCTGGACGCCTAAACTGACGTTGGTGTAAGCAAAGTGAATGCCTCTCTCTTCGAGAAAGGAACGTTCCAATGCCGTTGCTCCACCAACCGCGAAATTAACTCCCTTTTCAAAGTTTGCGTTTTGAGATCCATAAAAAGGAGGCACAAGCGGTAAACCCAAGAATTCAGCTGTGAACAAAACCGAGACATGAAAGAGCTGTATTTTGTAGTGGTTTTTGTGATTTAGATGTATTCATGTTATATACAATCACACCTACAAGGCTACAAATCCAATCAAGCAAGAGGATCCAGAAAAAGAAGTTAAACAGAGAAACAATAAAACAGGGGAAGAATTAATTGTATCAGCTAAAGAATTTCAATTTCAACTTTGTTGTACACACTCAGAAACACTTGCAAGTTCACAGTAAAGACAAAAAAAGGACACAGTGAAGACTAAAAAGACGTACCGATGAAGTCGATGACGAGACGGCCGTTAGAGAAACGGCCGGTGGGATGGTGGAAGAAGGTCTCTCCGTATGGAGGAAACGCGACGTGAGGTAGATCGTTAGGATCAGAGAGGCCGACCAAGTTTCCGGTGTCGGCGATCGAATCGCCGAAACTTATGATCGACTTGAAATTCCGGCACTGCGTTTCCGAGCTCACGATGGTGAGACAAAGAGCAGATAAAAAGAAGCTCACGAGCTTCGTCAACAGAAGAGAATCGGGAGACGCCATGCGAGAAGCCAGAAGAATGGTGGTTGGTCTCAGGTCTCCGTCGTCAACTTTTTGTGATTTGTTGAAAGGAAAACAGGAAACAAAAAAAACAAAAAGAATCAGTTATTGTACGAAGTAGATAGAGATGGACTTCTCTTGCTGTTTGTCCTTTCGTTATGAATGCGACTTTGAAAGATAAAATTTTTTTTTTTTTTTTTTTTTCTTTTTCTAGGAATGCAAAGTATTGTTTTTTTCTTTTTCTAGGAATGATAAGATTAGAATCCTGAAAGTTGTGTTTTTTCAAAGTTAAACTGTTCAGAAATCATATTCATAACATTAAATCTACATAGAATTATATTCACTGAAAACACTTCCCAATGATTTTTAATAAAATGCAATACAATACAGGATCCAACACAAGCACTGGAGTTGTTATCTTTCTTGTCTCTCAAAGTTTTCAGACAAGCATGTATCAGTTGTTCATCAAAGAATGATGTGTGTCTAATGACTCCTTGTTCTCAATCTCAGAGCTGAGGCAGGACCAATCAAAAGGAGGAATCGAATACGGTCCTTTGAGTAATCCCTCAGCTATCAATCTATACGCAGTCTCAGTCATATGAACACCATCCCAATTCACATACTTTGAAGGATCATCACAATATCCAACTCCTTTGCTCCCACATTTTACACCAAATGTGAAGTTGTACGTTCCTCCTGAACCGCAACAAACGGGCAAAGGTCTGCTCATGAGCCCTGACAGTATCATTTATTGAAAACTCAAGTCAAACACTAAGATCATCAGTGGTATTTTGGTTGTGTAGATTTGTGTGGAGGAAAAAAACAAACCGAATTTGGCTGGTTCTTGGATAAGGCGCAACAGGGCGTTGTAGTAATCTCCGTATATGATGTTGACATGAGGGTAAAGCTTCCTGAGTCTGTTGAGTTCTGTTTGAAGCTTCTCATTGTGGTATTCTGAAAACTCGTTTAGCCATGTCAAACATCCGGTTAGAGGATCGTAGTCTTCCTTGTTTGGTGTTTGATATAATGTCAAATAGATTACAGAACATCCGAGAGGGAAATTTCCGGGAACTAGGAATGTTTTGCCTCCCATATCGACCAACTCCTGGATTCAACATTAGATTTCAAAACAACTTAACATGTACACTAATGTCAGCTTAGAAGCCTTAGATCAAGAATGTTTTACCGTGATTGCTGAAGAAATAGTATTGATCACAAGAGGAACAAGCTCTTTGATCTCTTCAATGGTTTTGCGACCAAAGAAGGGATAGTTATAATCATTCCCTCCAATCTCTCCCATGAGAATCAAAGCATTTCCAATCATATCTCTACAATCTAAAACCAAAAAACAACAAAACAAAAGCAAACCTTTACAAGTGAACTCAGTTCAACTGCAAATAGTCAAATTCGGTTGATCATCTTCTTCACCACCTGATGGCGAGCCACATAGGTTTAGTAAACTCTCCTTGAAGCTCTGAATCTGAACTCCTAAGCTGATGTTTCCGTAAGGACAATGAATCCCTCTCTCCTCAAGAAAGGAACTTTCTAATGCCGTTGCAGCTCCCACCGCGAAATTAACCCCTTTCTCAAAGTTTCCGTTTTTCGATCCATAAAAAGGAGGCACATGTGGAAACCCTAAGAATTCAGCTGTGAACAAAACCACCCCAAGAAAAAAATAATAATGTTTTCGTCTCTCTGCTTCAAGTTTTCCAGATGCTTTAAAGTCTTTTTATACAACTTAAATCGGAAAAAAAAAGTTGAGCCAAAGCCATAAAACAGAGGAAAAACAGAGCAAGAGCCAAAACACAGTCAACTCTCGGTGAATTGAGAGACCAATTACAAGATTATTCTCGCTGATTTCAATTCGTGTTAGATAGAAAGAAATTACCGATGAAGTCGATAACAAGGCGGCCATCGGAGAAACGGCCGGTAGGGTGGTGGAAGAAGGTTTCTCCGTAAGGAGGAAACGCCGATTCAGGGAGTTGGTTAGGAGAAGAGAGACCGATCAAGTTTCCGGTGTCGGCTATCGAATCTCCGAAACTGATGATCGACTCGAAACTGCGACATTTCGTTTCCGATCTCACGGTGGTGACCACTAGAAGAGTAGATAAAAAGAAGCTCACCAGCTTTATCAGCACATGAGAATCTAGAGACTGATACGCCATGTGAGAGGTTTGGAGTGCCTTTCTATCTATCTTTCTTTCTTTTTTTATGCAAAATCTTTTCTTTTGTTGTTTGGTAAAGTTTATATACAGTAGAGCCAAATGTTTAGGCAGACAAAGACAGTGAATGACAATTGGCGGGGGATGGGCCAATGAGTAGTCATGAGCCACGAGCCTTTGTTGTTGTTGTTGTTTTATAAGTCTCTTTTATAAATTTGTATGGATACCAAAACTTTGTATTTGGCTCGTTTAAAAATGGGTTAATTGGACTTTTAAACACTCTCATGAAATATCTAACATTGACAGGGATCATAACTGAAAGTTCATAGATTCTTATTTAGGTTTTAAAGTTCAAAGATTCTTCAACCCTCATCCAAATTACTAGAATCGATTCTTTTGAATGTAAAAGGGTTGAAGGGAAATAAACCAAATTAAACGGAGTACAAAATTTAAGATAAATATAGTTTTTAGATTAGTAATTATAGTTTGATATGCTAGTTGTGCCTCCAACGATCCAATCTGATAATTTTATGTATCTTCCAATGGAAAGCATCTCAGTCTTCAAAACTCGATGATCACTGGCCTATAGATTAAGGCAACCAAAAAAAAAAGCATGAATGATTACAATAAGCTTGGAAAGTAAGTATATGAGAAGAATAGTATTATCAATTCATCACCAATACATCAATATCAACAACAAAAAAAATCAATAAAAGAAAAAAGAATACATGAATACCAAAGCGCATAAAACAATTTTAGTTTAATAGATGAAATAAAATAGATAAGAATTTAATTACCCTTTTTCCCAGGCCATCCAGAAAACCTTCTCAAAATGGGATCAATTTTTAAACCGAGCGATTCATACCTTGGATCATATAGTGAATTTTGTAGCCTGAAGTAAGAAGTGGAACGTACTGATTAGTTATATTCGTAAATATATTGTTTCTTAATGATGAATGATCAAATAATTATCTCAGCTAAAGAGTGTGGTAGAAATATAGAAGTATAAAGTTATATATGACAAATTTGTTAGCAATTTAAGTAATAATCACATGCGGCAAATTACTTAAATCATGAACTTATGTACGTGGCAGCATGCTATCTTTGAGTAGCATGTACACGTGACTGTACGCTAAATCATCATTTCTTTCGCTCATCACGTCGTTAAAAATTTATACAACCATATTTTAAAATAAATTACTTTATTTTTTAAAACAAATCCGCAAATGAAAATCAGTATCTTAAACTGACGTTTTTGTAGTCTGGGTAAAATATGTTTATGTTTGGATGAAAATAAATGAGTGATGAAAATATGAAATCAATTACGATAAATAGATGAAATATAATGTGTGTTGAACAAAAAAGATGGAACATATATAACAAGAGTAAATGGAACAAAAAAAACAGATGGGAAAGTATAAACCTTTCTTCAACAGGATTGGCTGCATTTGAATCAATATTTCTTTCTGGCAAGGAGAATCTCTGCATTATTAAATTAATTCGTATTAATTTACTCTTTGTCAATTAATTTTGATTCTTTTGTAGGATAAAATTTATGTGTATTTTTGAGAACTAATACCCTTCTTCGAGCGGAAGATGATGATTCCCCATGCTCAAAGTGACTTCTTGGTCGACGTCCCAAAATGCTAATCTGTTGTAATGTTCATCACGTTGTCAGTAAAGTTTTAGCTATTCAAAATTTTTTATACAAAAAATATTCAGACAATTACTGTCCTTTTTTTTTGTGGCAACCAAAAATAGTTTCATTCATCGAATAAAAAAAATATGGTACCTCCATATCAGCCAATGCGGTCGTGCATGGAAGAAATTGTGCATAAGTCTCGATGGTAGGGTATCTAAACCTCGGTGAAGGCCGAGTTCCTAGCTCTGGGGCGTTTGCCGCGTTTCCTTGATTCCTACAAAAACGAGGCCTACAAAAACCAAAATTATTGTGGAGCACAAAAGCTTCATTTATACCTTGCACTAGATCGAGTGTGATCGACTATGTTTGGGTTTGATACCTTGTACAGCTCGACGGAATTTGAGGTAGAGGAGGGGTCACAGAAATTTGATTTTGTTGAGGATATGTCCTGTATGAAACCCAACATATAACAATGCCCTTATAGAGTTGTAAATTTAGTGCAGCAAATACAAGTGTAATTTAAAGGATATAAATATACACATATAGAGACGGGAATATAATCCTTGATCTTAGATAATTTTGATCCAATTTGCTATTATTTGGGCCACATCTAAAATTAAGCCCTATTTCTGGAGTTTCGATACAAATTAACACTTTAGAAGGTTATCATCTCCATAAGGTTTTTTTAGAAAATTATATCGGATATATATATTTATATATATATATATATATATATAGCTTTGGAACTTATAAATAACTCCTAGCTCCTTCACCCATTTTATTATAACCAAGAAAATCCAAGTAGAGTGTAGAGAAGGTAATTTAAAACGATACGAAAAAAGTGTTGAGTTAATATTAAACACAATATACAAAATAGCTTACCCATACAGATCTGCAACCATCCTTGGGGCGAGAAGTTCGTCTTCCCTGTTGGTTAAAACTAATGGAGGCGGTTGCTGGTCGTACATGTTGAAATGTGAAGCAACTGGGCCATGCTGGTACGTTGGATATGACTGGTAATTTGGTGATCTGTGTATTTCATGAAAATAATAGCTATATCCAAATCTGTAAAACAATGTTACAAATATAAAAAATAATTCAATTTGTAATTTAATTAGTTACATACAAAGAAACTGGTCGAAACTGCTCTTGAAGATGGTTTGGTAACTCAAATGATTGAGTCGTTATTGGATGTGCAAATCCATTGATTTCTCCCTCGATTTGTTGACCAGTTCCTGTCTGGCTCATGCATGAATATACATGTTCATCAACAACTGTTTAAAAAGTAATCGATGATTAAGAAGATAAAAGTAGATTTACCATTGTAGGATCATTTGGTTCTGGAAAAGAACTCATTGTGTTTTGATTGAACAAAGATTGCTGGTTTAATTGTCCGTTTGGTAAGTTTCCTTGTAAAAAGCTATGTGAGTTGCATGATAATTGTTGCGGTTGCTGCTTACAGAAAATGAAAACGTGGTTAATTATTTATATGTTATCATTGATGGTTTGCTTTTGCTGGCATATAGTATCTAGCTCATGAATGTGCTATATTCAGCAAAAATTAATTAAAATAGTTGATGATCAAGAAAAAATGGAAAAAGGAAAGAAATGGAAAAAAAAAATAAGTCACAAGGTAAAGAGGGGAAAAATAAGAAAAAAGGAAAAAATTAGAAAAAAAAATTAAAAAGATAAAAATAAATAAATAAAAGCAGAAATCTTCAATTTACCATTACAGAAACATCTGGCTGTAGAAAAGAATCCAACAAGTTTTGATCGAATAGAGGTTGTTGATCTGCTTGTCTGTTTAGTAAGTTATCTTGGAAATACCCATGTGAATTGCCTGATAGCTGTTGATGCTCCTGCTTAGATACAATGAAAACGAATTTAGTTCTTACAAAGTACATTAATGGTTTAATGTTGATGGCTTGTAATAAAATTTTTGCTTATATTAAAAATGTAAGTAGCATACGTACCATTTCAGGTGGATTTTGCACTAGCGTTAATGTCTCTGGGAATGGGATTAGATTTGGGGATTGTGTATTCATTGAGGGGTTAGCCTCGCCTATTACAGGATTAGAGATTAATCCGACAGGATTAGAGATTAATCCAACAGGATTAGAGATTAATCCAACAGGATTAGAGATTAATCCAACAGCCTCTTCGAACACATTCGCAGTTTCTTCCACTATCGGGTCTTGTAGAACATCCTTATTGCACAAAGTCAACGATTTTATTTTATTACCACAATTTAGTTTTTCATGTAGAAATTAAAAGGCGAGAAATAAAATATTTATACCATTATCGGAGGAAATGAGTCTGGTGACGGGGTGAAGCACAAAGGACTAAGTTGAAACATTTGATCGTCGAAGATATCATCATTCCAATCCATATTGGCCGCTTTTTTCTACTGAAAGTTCGATAAATGATATACATTAGAAATTGAATAATCGTGACCACCAAGAAATTGATTAACTTCGTAACTTCAACAACTTTTTTTTATTATTTTTTTTTCTAAAAATGTGGTATCATTTGTTGTCTAATAATTATTCATGCTACTTATACATATAGTAGATATTTAAACATCAACGGGAGTGTATATAAATTGACGGAAAGAGATGAAACTGAGACATTTTTAAGAAGTTCAAAATCAAGATATTATATACTGGATCCTTTGAAACGAAATCATGAAAAATTAACTCGTTGGTCTAAAAAAATTTGTGGTTTAAAATATCAAAATATCGTTGGTCTAAAAAATAAATAACAAAAACAATGATGACCGAAAAAAACTGAAGTTAACGAATGGAGACAGTTTGACATTTTTTAAATGATGGTCTGTTTTTTTAATATCTAATGGCTAGTTCTGATATCACTAATTTGTGTGTCTGGAAGAATCAGTGTAACTACTATATATATGTATATAAAAAAACAGTGTAACTATATGTATATATGTATAGAAGAAAAACTATACAGATGTATACATATACATAATATATATACATATAGAAGAAAAACTTATGAAACAAATCCAAAACACATGAATTTGAAACAAATGCATCCATCAAAAAGATACAAAAAATCCACCTTAATATACGAATAGGGAAGTACCAAATATAAAAATGAATATATGAAAAACAGATTATTGAAAAAAATGAAAACTAACAATTCATATTAAAAAAAAATAAACAGAACTAAATCAAAATTACAATCAGAAGATGACATAAACTTTGTGAACAAGTTGAAGGCACTGAAGAAAAAAAATCAAATTTGAAGAAATATATGGAACTATAGTATCATATACAGTGGCGAAGTTAGAATAATTTTTTTAGGGGATCAATATTAATATAATTACATAAATATTAAATCTATGAGGGTTAATATACGCGATTGAGTTTAGATAACTCACGAAATATAAACAAAAATGTATATCCACACAAAAATATATAAATTTCATCGGAGTCAATTGACCCAGTCGCCGTCAAATAGCTCCGCCACTGATCATATATATAGAAATCAAATAACAAAAGGTTATATTGAAAATCAATATGGTATACACTCTTGATCTAGAAACAAAATAACCCCCCAAAAGGTCTATTTGGTTTTTGCAGTTAAAATATGAATAGAAATTTGTGTGTAGAACTGAATTGCAGCAGAACTGAAATGCAAAGAAAAGGAATTGTAAAATACCTAATAGAAACGACTGTAGAAGGAGAGACACTGGAAAATTAAGTCGAGCGATATGGATGATGGAAAAGAGGGAGAACATGGAAGAAGAATACCATATATATATATATGCACAGCGTGAGAAGAAGGTCTCAAGTACCTTATCTTTACAATGCCACGTGGTTAAAACTTTTGTATGTGTATCTTTAAATTACTGTATTCTTAAATATTTACGGTGAAGAAATCACAAAAAGAAACTACACAATTCAGAGCTTCACAAAGTACAAATATACTTTTGTATATCAAGCATAACAAAGTATTCGTCATATATACAAAATTACAGATTAATGTGAAATATATCATATTAGTCAATTGATTGATCTTAAAGATGTACATATATACAAATGTTTAGCAAAACAAATATGATATGCATATTTTTGTGACAAAACAGAAGAACTTGTTAATATTTTAAAGATATGTATATACATTCAAATTTTAATATTATCTGCTAATTTGACGGCGCCGAAAAGTTATAAAATTTTAGTTTAATATAAAATTTTAAATAACGACATCAGTTAAATTAATTATATATTATCGTTATATGATTTATGAATCGAATTTTAAAATTAATTATATATATTGTCGTTTTATAGATTTTATCATTCAAGTTAATTTTCTCACACAATTTTTCATTCGAAGAATATTATACTTTTACAGTAAAAATTAGTAATAATTTTGATATCCATAAAATCTACTAATCTAATAGTTTAAAATTTTACTATTGATAAAGTATAGTAAATTTTCAGAAAGTATTATTTGTTTTAGTGTTTTAACTCTAAGCAATTTTACAACACGTATAACCAAATTAAAATGATAATGAAATACCCTTTATTCAAATAAAAACAAATAAGATGGATACAGGAAAATCTATGAATTAATGAATATTATAATTATAATTGTCAATTTTTAGACTCAGACAATGCCAAGTTGGAAAAATATAAGAAATAATGACACAAAGCGGTTAATATAATCAATATTTTTCTACTTAAATAGAAATGTTTGGTTGTCTGTTGTTAAAATACAGATACCCATAAAAAAATGTTTTGTTTGTTCTTAAAAATACAACCAAAAAAAAAGAGATGTATGTTTTGTTTTTTTCCTGCCCAAAACGTAATTTTCTCTTTTATTTAAGGTAGTTAAATTTTAAAAGAGTAATATACTAAGATATTATATGGAAAAGCATGGAAAGTTATGGTAAAGAAAAACCGAAAAAAGTGAACAAGGAGATAGTGACTGTTACACGTGTTGTTATCATTTGGATTCTACCCAATCCATCATGTTTCATATCTTAAACTGACAATTGACAAGAGTATCTCAGTTTAGCTTTTTTTTATCTAAATTTTTGTAACCGTTACTCTGTTAACTTTTTGCTTTTGTTCACAGTAGCCGTTGTTTATTTCACTTTTATGTTACAGTCATACATACACATTTGTTTGTCAAACATGGAAAGTGTTAGACTTTTTCAATATATTGGCATCAGGTCAAAAAGGATAAAAGGTAATGAGATTTGATATTTTCTATCCTTTTAAATTTTTATTTCTCATGAGTTATTTCCCTTTTTATGTGAAATTAACATACTTAATTAGCTGGACTTGAAAAATACACTATAATAATTAGCTGTAGAATCTCTAATACAATCAGTGTTCTATCTTTTCGTTAAGATACAACAGTTTTAAACAGAAAGTTTTACCTGGTAGAATTTTTTTTGAGGGGAGTGAGCATGGGAAACTTATAAAAATAACATTAAATTCCGTAAAATGATAATAAACTTTTTTTTAAACGATTCTCACAAAACTATATAATTTCTAAAAAATATTTTTACTGCTCACATAAATAAACAAAATAACAACCGTGAATTTTTTAAAAATTTTACATGCTTAATTTTTTAAAAGAAAAGTAATTTTATATGCTTAATTTTTTTCTTTAAAATTTTAGTTTCTCGGTTAATTAAAGAAAACTAATTTTTTTAAAGAAAACTAATTTTTGTTTTCTCGGTTAATTAAAAAAACTAATTTTAGTTTTCTCGGTTAATTAAAAAAACTAATTTTAGTTTTCTCGGTTAATTAAAAAAACTAATTTTACATGCTTAATTTTTTTAATTAACCGAGAATACCCAACTAATATTAAACAAAATCCAAAATAAAATCGAACCATAACCCCAAGATTGCGAAAACCAATAAATCCCCATATTAAAGAGAACCACATTAAGGAAAAGAGTAGAGACATATAATCAAAACCGGCTATAATGAAACCGAGAGAGAAGGAGAGAATGTGCTCTTAATCGAATAAGATTTGGTTGGATTCGAACGTAAGAGATCACATAGTGAGAAGTATACACCGAGACGTATGTTTATATGTCATTGTCGATATTACATTAAGAATTCCATACTATTTTATTAAGTCGATTTCGATTCTTTCTTTTTTTTTTTTTTTGTAAAAGGATGTCAATTTCGATTCTTACATCATGAGTTTCTTACATTTGGATTTGGTGCTTCTATCCCCTAATATTGTTTTTTTTTTTAAATTCCACGGTGAATAGTCCTTGTGGTAATTTTTGTTGAATTGCTGGTTTAGTACTTTTGTATAATCAAGTTTTGGATGCAGTGAGTCTGTGACTCTGGAAATCTCATGATTTTAGTCTTTTTAGATGTTTTCTTTAATGTTGTGATTCAGTAAATAAATATCGTTATAACTTAATTAAAGAGAATAAGTTTTCTTGTTTAGGTGGGCATGCTACTAGGGAGTTAGTGAAGAACCCTAATTATCCAACTTGGTCGACGTGGGTATATATGCTGCTATAGAGCTGGTGATAATGTTCCTGCAACATCTCTAAAAAATCCATCCTGCATCCGCATCTCTTAAGATCAGTTCCTCGATCGGTAAACATATGGATTGTTTAATTTGATTGAAAATTATTTAGTAATCATGTTGATTTTTAAACAATTCAAAGTAGCGCAGGTCTAATTCTAGTTTTATACTGTACTAGGAGCATACCTGCGTATATGCGCAGGTCTTTATATATGTTTTTGTTAGTAATATAGTTTCATTGTTTAGTTTTGTTCATTTTGGTATTTTTAATTTCATATTAAAAATTCTTTGGTAAAATAAAATAAAATTTTGTACTCAAACCAAAATTATGTAAATTTTAGAAGAGATTATAACAATTTTTTTATGAAACCCAAACGTTTTTTCTCCCAAAGAGATTTTCACTTCACATTACATACTTTCTGATCCAGGTAATAGCCAAAGCGATGCAGCAATGGGTACAAAACTCCAACACAGCCACAACGGAAAAGTTGGACATACAACGGGAATGTTCCTTCAATATATGTAAAGAACAAAGCTGATGTGAGAATGATATAGGAACCAAATGTTGACAAGTCATCTTCTCCAAAATCAAAATAATCTTGACAATTAGAAATAAACAATACCAAACTTTAGGGAAAAACCTCTGTTTATATAGTCTAAAAACAGATAAAAAACAAAATTCCAAAAATCAAACGTGAAGGGACACCTTCGTAAGAGACTTTCTGGCGCTAAGAACGCCTTCAACGATAATAACACCACTGCAATTTACAAGAGAAACAAATCCAATATAGCACGTGCTGGTGAACAGATAGAGAAAATAAAATAGAATTGTTTTACTTTGCAAAATATTCGAGTAACTAATTTCTGTTTGTACTCAAGTATAAAAACTAATATGTTTACAATATAAACGACCATTTCCTTACAAAATTAAGCACAGTCATATGCTTACAATATATATGTAAATATTTTCCTTACTTATAATAATTGATGAACAAAAGAACTCTGAGTTGTAAAATACCAGAAGCGATGTAAACTTTGGTGACTGATACTAGAAGAGTTTCATGGAAATATATACACATTTATATAGTATAACTAAATAAATAAACCAAAACAGTTTTATTTAATACTCATTACTCGCAATACGACAATAAAAAGCTCTCTAAGGAACTTCATCAAACAATTGAATTTGAGCCGTGTTCATCTCTTTACACTGGTATAACTCAATCTAGATGCACGGAATAACCTCACACAAACCTCTTTTCGTCAAGAAAAGAACACCAAGCGAAATAATCTGAGTATTTACACTCAGATCCGAGCCTTTTTCATTTGTCAACTTTTCCTTCAGACGGTTCAAATTTGAGTAAATGAGTTACATATGATATGACTATCACATCCGATCAATCAGTTGAACGAACGAGCATATACCTTTAAGTGTCGAGAATCACCATAATCCAAGTGGAAGCAATGAAATTATAAGAGTATTAGATACAATTATGAAAGGTGAGGAGGGAACTAATGGTTTTCCGAAACTTGGTTGTGAAGAATGAACAATTAATAAGAAGATAAATTTGCATCGAAAAGAGCTTTGGAATTTTTATTGTTAATTAAATTTATCTTGACCTATGTGATTTAAATAGAGGAGGCTGTGATGTACTCAGATTCTTTATATTCTTTTTAAAAAAAATAATTTCTAAATTAAATTCTAGAGAGCTGATGTGTCAAAAAGGAGGTGCTGATGTGTCAAGTTTGTGAGACACAACCCACTCTTTATATAATAGATCTCTGTTTCATTAACGTGTTATATTAACGTTTTATTATAACATTTATTAATACTTACGAGTTTTATTTCTCTAATAATAAACTCAAAAATATGGATAAAACTAGAATTTTGTTGAAAAATTAGAACGGCATTTTTTTTGTAATACAAAACTAAAAACCTTGCAGCTGACATTATCATGAAACATACGTAGTACATATAAAGATGGGATCTAGAGTAAAGTCTATAAATATTGTTGTTAGGAATCTAATAGTTATATATACACATTTTTGGCATTTATTCACACCTTGCATTTAAAGCATTTAAATAAACAAGTTAGATACTAATAAAAAATGATTTAGTGTGCATCTGCCATCATCTGATAGAATATGGTCAACACATATGCTCTCCTTGAAATTGTTGTCATTGATTGTGCCAAAACGTTGCCAAACAAGCAACCTGTTCATGTTTTTTTTTTTTTTTTGTTATTTTGTTATTGTTCTTGCTAATCATCATCTGTCATCAACACCTATTTATCGGCTGATCCAGAGCCAAGGCAAGACCAGTTGAAAGCAGGAGTTGCATAGGGACCGTTGAGTAAACCTTGAGCCATCTTCCGGTACGTGGCTTCGGTTGAATGATAACCATCCCAATGAACATACTCAGAAGGATTTGGACAGTAGCTAACTCCTCTGTATCCACACTGATCTTCACTAACAGTGAAGTTGTATTTACCTCCAACTCCACAAGAAGCACCCAAAGGTCTGTTCTTGAACCCTGAAAAAGGATCCATAAAAGCATATTGGTTCATAAATCAAACCGTACGTGAGGGTCAAGGACCGAGTATTAAAGGCGCACACACCGTGTTTGGCTGGTTCTCGGAAAAACCGGTACATAGAGTTGTAGTGGTCAGCGTAAATGATGCTGGCATGAGGGTAGAGTTGTTGGAGTCGTTTAAGTTCTGTCTTAAGCTGTTCATTGTGGTGCTCTCCGAATTCGTTGAGCCATGGGAGACAACCTGTAAAAGGGTCGTAGTCTTCTTCTTTCGCGGTCTGAAATAGAGTAAGATATGCGGGGATACATCCAAGTGGAAAGCTTCCAGGCACCACGAATGTTTTGCCTCCCAAATCGATCAAATTCTGTAGTTTTGGTTCTTAGTTTGTTAAAATTTAGAACAGACGTGTTATTTTGTGGGTGGAAATATAAATATATCTTACCACAATAGCAGAAGATATAGCCTTGATGACTAGAGGAACTAGATCTTTAATTTTATCGAAGCTTTTGCCTTCGAAAAACGGGTAAGTATAGTCGTTCACTCCAATCTCTCCCATGAGTATCAGCGAGTCTTCAAGCATCTCTCTGCAATCTAAAGTTGGAAAAAAAACAAAACCCTTAGAAGCGAGCTCGATTCATTATCATAGATATGTAAGAGAACTAGGTTATAAGTTTCTAACCACGAGAAGAAGAGGCGCAGAGGTTAGGTAAAATCTGCTTGAAGATGTTAAGCTGAACACTTAAACTAACATTGGTGAAATCAGATTCGATTCCTTTTTCGACAAGAAACGCACGATCCAAGGCTGTTGCTCCATACACCGCGAAATTGATCCCTTTTTCGAAGCTCACGTTTTGGGATCCGAAGTTAAGTGGTACGTACGGTAGTCCCAAGAACTCGGCTGTTACGGAAACCAAATTTGGAGACAGTATTACAAAGACTATGGAGCATGCAAGTAGGGTTTTAAAACTTGCTGTTCACGCAAGAAAGACCTAAAGCAGAGGAAAACAAGTGGTTTTGCCTAAATCTCTGTTAAAACGAGAGGAAAAATTTAGGTACCGATAAAATCTATGATGAGACGGCCGTCGGAGTAATGGCCGGTGGAGAATGGAAGAAGGTTTCTCCGTAAGGAAGAAAGGCGGCTTGAGGAGGATGATTGACGTCGGAGGAGAGACGGAGATAATTTCCGGTGTCGGCGCTGGAATCACCGAAGCTGATGATTGATTTATAGTGCCGACACGGTGGTTCTGATGAGGCAATGATGATGGTGGAGGAGAAGATAAGTAGAAAGCTAGAGATTAGCTTCTTCAGTGGAGAAGCCATGGGAACATATGAGTCGTCTCTGTTACTCTATTTCTTTATAGTCACTTTTGACCACTACTAAATCATGCAGAGATTTTTTTTTGTTTTTGTTTTTAATTCATGAACCGCCTTGTTCATTATCAGAAGACAACAATGGCAATAATCATAACCAAAGTGTCCTTTTTTTTTCTAGGCTTTGGTTTGTGTGCCCAAAGTGACCTCTTTTGTATTCACTTTAATTTCACCACTTTAAAGATTCAGTTTCTTGTACCAAATACTCTACATTTTTGAAGAAATCTCACATTTGATTCTGATTCCATTTAAATTTTAATTTCACTTGACCAAACTATTAAAATAGATATAACATATACTGTACTTGAGCATTTTTTTTCTAGCATGACAATACTAATCTAACCCAATTTCTATTCCAAAAATAAATTATCAATCAACTACTTTAAAATAGTGGTGCATGCTTAGATAACTCTAGTCGAACGAAAGTAATAAACATCCATATAACAAATTTACAAAACTAGTAAACCACAATCACTAGTTCCACATATCATGCCGATGTCAGGCAATAATAACTGGATCATTTCCGCAATAACTGGACAGCTAGATTCTGATTAATGCACTGACACAAGTGCTAATCTCTGCCATTCCTTTCGAATCTCAGCCCATAAAACTGTATATATATATATATATATATATATATATTAACTAAAAAAAAAATCTGCAACTTCACCGGAATAATTTTATATTCTCTACTGTTATCAAATAAGTTTTTTTTTATGACAAAAAGGTTTTTTTTTTTCCTTTCTTTCAACTAAAATATATTATTATTATATATACTCCCTCTGTTTTATTATAGTTGATTTTCTAGGTTTTTTTTCTTGTTTCATAATATTTGATTTTCTATATCTAATTAATGCATGTCTCTTCTTTAAATTATGAATAATATTAATGCATGTTGCTTTACTCCATTAATGCACAATTAAAAAAGAAAAAGTAATAATAAAAATAGTAAAATCAGTTGTAAAAATAACTTAATTAACAAAAATAAACAATAAATAATTGAGCATTTATAGTTTTCTTAATCTGTGTGTAAATATTCAGAAAATCAACTATAATGAAACAGAGGAAGTATAAGGAAGACAAAAAAAGTATAATAGAATTTTCCTTTTTTTCTTTCTCTCACCATTCTTGTTCCAGAATATCCTAAAAGATTGCTTGATGTGTTCCTGCAACAATTGATTAATAAGTTGCAACTATTTATGAAATAATGGTGTTCAAGAGTACAATATTTTTTACCAGCATAATTTTATGATACATAGGATACTTATATGGATTATAAGCGATTTCCCATCATCTAGTATGTTGTCCATCAGTGTATTGTTAAGATAATATTGATGTATTCCAATCAAAAACGTGTTGGTTTAATTATCGATTTTTATGTCAACACAACATTGTTTAGAAAGAACAGAAAGTGTTTTGACGCTCATGTTAATAATCATAATCACCATTTAATTTGTTTCATAACAAATGAATTCTTTTAACTACCGAAAGAATACTCTGTATCCACTGATGCAGAGCCAATGCAAGACCAGTCGAAAGCAGGAGTTGCATAGGGACCGTTAAGTAAGCCATGAGCTATCTTCTGGTGTGTGGCTTCTGTTAAATGATAACCATCCCAATTCACATACTCAGATGGATTTTGACAATAGCTAACTCCTTCGTATCCACACTCTTCATTAATAGTGAAGTTGTAATTACCACCAACTCCACAACAAGCACCCAAAGGTCTATTCTTAAACCCTAAAAAAAAATGAACCATAATCAGTTAAGGAATCAAACCGTGAAGGTCAAGGATAGAGTTTTAAATGGCGCACGAACCGTATCTAGCTGGTTCTTGGAAAAATGGGTACATGGAGTTGTAGTAGTCGGCATATATGATGTTGACATGAGGGTATAGTTTTTGGAGTCGTTTGAGTTCTGTCTTAAGCTGTTCATTGTGGTGCTGTCCGAATTCGTTGAGCCATGTGATACAACCCGTAAAAGGGTCGTGTTCTTCTTCTTCCACGGTCTTAAATAAAGTAAGATAAGCGGGGCTACATCCAAGTGGAAAGTTTCCAGGCACCAGAAATGTTTTGCCTCCCAAATCGATCAAATCCTGTAGTTTTGTTGCTTATTTCGTTAAATTCTTAAAACAAACGTGTTATTTTGTAGATGAAAATGTAAATATATGTTACCACAATGGCAGAAGATATAGCTTTGATGACTAAAGGAACTAGATCTTTGAGTTCATTGATACTTTTGCCTTCGAAAAACGGGTAATTATAGTCGTTGCCTCCAATCTCTCCCATGAGTATAAGCGAGTCTTCAAGTATCTCTCTGCAATCTAAAGTTGGAAAAAAAAAAAAAAACCCCTTAGAAGCAAGCTCGATTCATTATCATATATATGTAAGAGAACAAGGCTATATAAGTTTCTAACCACGAGAAGAAGAGGCACAGAGGTTAGGTAAAATCTGCTTGAAGATGTTAAGCTGAACACTTAAACTAACATTGGTAAAATCAGATTCGATTCCTTTTGCCAAAAGAAACGCACGATCCAAGGCTGTTGCTCCATACACCGCGAAATTGATCCCTTTCTCAAAGCTCACGTTTTGGGATCCGAAGTAAGGCGGTACGTACGGTAGTCCCAAGAACTCGGCTGTTACATAAACCAAAAGATGAACACAACATTACAAAAACTCAGGAGGAAATAGGGTTTCTAACTTGCTGTCCAAGCAAGAAAGACCTAAAGCAGAGGATAAGAAACAGTTTTGCCTAAATGTCTGATAGAAGAGAATCAGGTACCGATGAAATCGATTATGAGGCGGCCATCGGAGTAACGTCCGGAGGGAGAACGGAAAAAGGTTTCGCCGTATGGAAGAAAGGCGGCTTGAGGAGGATGATTGACGTCGGAGGAGAGATGGATATAATTTCCGGTGTCGGCGATAGAGTCACCAAAGCTGATGATCGATTTAAAACGCCGACACGGTGGTTGATCTGATGAGGCAACGTTGAATGTGGAGGAGGAAAAGATAAGAAGAAAACTTAAGATGAGCTTCTTCAATGGAGAAGCCATGGGAAGAAGAGACGAGTCGTCGTCTGTGTTACTCCATTTTTATCATCTTTTTTGACCACTAGCAAAAAGGAATATAATGGGCAGATTCTTTATTGGAGATCTTATCTATTATGACGACAGCTAAGATTCATCCATGCATTGATACACATGCGCTAATCTCTGCCATTCCTTTCCAAACTACGCCAATAATTAATTTTAATCTAACACTATAGCTTATTTTTTTTAAAAATGGCTCTAAAACCCATCACATGCAATTAATTATAAGTTATGTTATCTTCTCCTAGTTTTTGACATTAGTCAACAATATTATATTGTGCCACAACCTATCCGTTCCAACAACTTGTTCTTGTTCTTAAACCATTAAAGAAGGAACCATTAAAACAAGAGTTGAAGCAAATTTTAGCAAAGAGTTGAAGCAAAATTAGTGAAAATGATCGTGTTTAGGAGTGACTTGTCATTTGCAGAAATGTCCACCCCAGTTGCACGCTCCGTTACAAAATTGGATATTCGATAATAAACAGAAATCGTGAAAGAAAAAAATATTAACAGTGAAAGATCCACTAGCCCATTTTACAATATTTGAATGAGTGAAAAAAGAAAACAACGTGTTCCATTTCTAGTGCTTTGGTTTGTGTGCCCAAAGTGGCCTCTCTTTGGATTCACGTTACTTCCAAGTTCCACCACTTTTGAAATTTTTGAGCTTCCTGTAATAAATACTCTACAATTTCCAAAACAAAATCTCACATTTGATCGTGATTCCATTTAAATTTCAATGATCAAACTATTTTAATATGTATAACATTGAAAAAAATTATAGCATGAAAATGGAGATATATAACCGCTTTTTTTTTGTCATACCTACTCCATGCATCTCTCTATCTCACTTTTTTTAACTAAAAATATTAATTATTTACAACACTTATGAAAGCCAAAACGAATCCAATTTCTGTGGAGGAGAAAAATATTGAGGACACGTATGATTGAATATAGTCTAACCATATTTCAATGATTTTTTAAAAATAGATGCGTACAAAAATCGACCATAAACTGAAATGATTTGGTAAAGGCATGAGTGAGAAACCAAATTAATTGTTTGAAAATGTGTAGGAGTAGGTAAGTGAGTATGGTCATGAAACTTGACTGTTTGGTAGTTGATTGGATTTGTCATTTGTGAGCTGTCCTCAAGGCATTGATTTTGCCTTCTTTTTTCACTTTGATTTTATAAATTGACCCCAAAAGTTTATTTTGGAATCTACAAAAACCATATCACAAACCAAAACAAAATTTATATTAGTAAGCAATGGCGACACTTGAAATTACAGAAATAGCCCTTGTTCATCCTTCTCACCTACCTTCCTTCAACGACCAAACACTCTCTCTCTCACATCTCGATAACGATAACAACCTCCACGTCAGCTTCCGTTACCTCCGCGTCTACTCCTCCTCCTCCTCCTCCGTCGCCGGAAAAACCCCAACCGCCGTCGTTTCCGCCTCTCTCGCCACCGCTCTAGTCCACTATTACCCCCTCGCCGGCACTCTCCGTCGCTCCGAGTCCGATAACCGATTCGAATTATACTGCGGCGCTGGTCAAAGCGTCCCTCTAGTCAACGCCACTGTTAACTGTACGCTCGAATCCGTCGGGTATTTGGATGGACCCGATCCAGGTTTCGTCGAGAGGTTGGTACCGGATCCGACCCGGGAGGAAGGAATGGCCAATCCATGTATCCTCCAGGTCACGACGTTTCAGTGCGGTGGATGGGTTCTCGGAGCAGCGATCCACCACGCGATCTGCGACGGGTTAGGTTCGAGTCTGTTCTTCAACGCCATGGCTGAATTAACTCGCGGAGTTGCTCAGATCTCGGTCGAACCGGTTTGGGACAGAGAACGATTGCTCGGTCCAAGAGACAAGCCTTGGGTTGGAGCTCCGGTTCGTGACTTCTTGACCCTGAACAAGGACTTTGATCCGTACGGTCAAGCCATCGGAGACGTGAAAAGAGAGTGCTTTCTCGTGACCGACGAGTCTTTGGACCGATTCAAGGCTTTGTTACTAGAGAAATCGGGTTCGAATTTCACCACTTTCGAAGCTCTTGGTGCTTACATTTGGCGTGAAAAGTAAGTTTAACTGTTTCCTGCACAAAATCGTTTTCTTGAAATGTTTTTGATCTTGAAAACAAGAATTTTTTTTTCGGAATTTCAGGGTAAGAGCTGCGAAGATTGGTGAAGACGAGAATGTGAAGTATGTGTATTCGATAAACATAAGGAGGTTGATGAATCCACCTTTGCCTAAAGGATACTGGGGAAATGGTTGTGTGCCAATGTATGCTCAGATCAAAGCTGGAGAACTCATGACACAGCCGATTTGGAAAACTGCAGAGCTCATAAAACAGAGCAAATCCAATGCGAGTGACGAGTACGTGCGCTCCTTTATCGACTTCCAAGAGCTGCACCACAAGGACGGGATCAATGCTGGTACAGGTAAAGAAAACATCATATGAATTTGTTTTTGGAAGCTAAAGGAGAAAATCAAAACAAAGTTTCATGCTTTTTTGGGAATGCTGTAAAACAGGAGTGACTGGATTCACGGACTGGCGATACTTGGGGCATTCAACTGTGGATTTTGGATGGGGAGGACCTGTGACGGTTTTGCCACTATCGTACAAGTTGCTTGGAAGCATGGAGCCATGTTTTTTCTTGCCATATTCTGATGTTGATGCTGGAAGCAAGAAGGACAGTGGGTTTAAAGTTTTGGTGAATCTACGTGAATCTGCAATGCCTGAGTTCAAGTTGGCCATGGAGAAGTTCCACAAGGGTGAATTTCTGCTGTCTTGATCACACACAAAGCGACCTCTATTAAAGCGCAATAAAACACACAAAAAATAATCAACCATTTGTATAACTTTTTGGTTTCATCACAGAACATATGTTTTCGAGCTCGCTGTATTTGTATTGAAGAGCATGATTGAGTCAAGCCTTAAATCTGTAAAACAATCAGTGGCAAAAAAAACAAGTCTCAATCCCAATCAAATCTTCTATGAATACCTTTTATTGAGCTTTCTCGACACCGATCCAACTACGACCAATGTTTTTAGGTATCTTTCTAGCCTTCATCACATCTCGAATCTCGCTCACGTTTTCCCATTTACCAGCAGAAGCTAAAACATTGGACAATGCTATATAAGCTCCAGGTCTTTTGTCAGCATTAAGCTTGAAAAGCTCATTTGCAGCTATTCTTGCGAGGTCCACATCACCGTGCAGTCTACAAGAACTGAGAAGAGCAGCCCAAACATCGGAGTCAGGCCTTTCAGGCATCGCCCTAACAAATTCCAAAGCTTTATTCAAATCTCCAGCTCGACCCATGAGATCAACCATGCAAGCATAGTGTTCCATCTTTGGTTTCATGGAATAATCTCTCTGCATGCTCTCAAAGATCTCATAACCTTTCTCAACCAAACCAGAATGTGAACAAGAAGAGAGAGCTCCGAGAAACGTTACGTAATTGGGTTGGACATGGAAATCCTTCATCCTAGTGAAGAGTTCGATTGCTTCCTCAGGGTTCCCGTTCTTTCCGTACCCATCAATCATCGAAGTCCAAGAAAACACGTTCTTCTCTTGCATTTGGTCAAAGACTCTTCTTGCATCATCGATTCCTCCGCATTTCGCATACATGTCTAACAAAGAGCTCCCCATTTTGATATGTGTATAGACTCCACTCTTCATAACCTGAGCGTGCACTTGCTGACCAACTTCACGAGCCGTCAAAACCGAGCACGCTCCAATCACGCTAGCAAAAGATGAAATATTTGGATGGAAACCAGCTCGTTGCAACAAAATATACATGCAAACTGCTCTCTCAGCAGTTTCAGCTGATCTGCTGAAACCTTCCACCATAGCATTGTAAACTACGATATCCTTCACTCTGGTTGTATTGAAAATCTCTTCAGCATCCTCCACAAAACCTTGATTCATGTAACCAGAGATCATTGATGTAGAACAAACGACGTTCTCATCTTTCATCGTTTCGAAAACAGTTCTTGCACACTCCAGCTTCCCACTTTTCACATAAGCATCCACAAGTGCAGTAATTAACACATCATCTAGTTCAACGTCGCATTTTATAATCCGGGCATGGACCAATCTGCATAAGCTACGGTGCAGAATCGTAGTCGAGACAAGACTACTAGATGCCTTAAGAACCATGGAAAGAGTGTACCCGTCTGCTTTTTCCCCAGAGTGGGACATCCGTTGAACGAGGAGAAGACATTCTTTTACCAATCCATGCTTTAGGTACCCACTGATCAAGTAGTTGTAAGCCGATAATGTTGGCTTGGGTAATTCGTCGAACACTTGGCGTGCATATCTCAGGCAGCCACATTTTAGATGCAGAATGAGTAGTTTGATGGATATGTTTAAATCTGGTCTAAACCCAGTTTTGATGATGTCGGCGTGAATCCTTTTCCCAGCTTTTGGGGACGGAGAATTGATGTGTTCTTGAAGAGCTCTCGCGATGCTTGTCGCAGGTGAAAGAGAAGAAACGTTATGTTTCGACGGGAATGTTGTGTAGTGATTCGACGGGAAGATCCGAAGTGAGACCGATGCGACTCTAAAGACTCTCATGGTTACATTAGCTTATCTGAGTTGTGATAAAGATGGACACTTTCCCGGGAATTACAGAGGTTTTGTTTGCACTTGTTGGTGATGGAGAAGATCTACGAGGTTTTCTGTTAAAGAGTTTGTTGTGGTTTTGGAGAAAGTAAGTAACTTTGAGCGAGAGGCTAAAATGCTATAATTTATGAAAAAATAGGCTCAGAAGTCATAATTTAATAATTAATTTAATTTTGATTTTCTTTTAATAATGAAAATCCTAGAAAATTTTTGCTTCTCCCTTACTTGTTTCTTTAATTATAGTAATACCAGGGTTAAACCCACTCAAATCCAATGATCCATGAATATCCGTTCAACCTATTGATATTTTTATTTATCTCAAATAATTAAATAATTATATCAATATTTTATTATCAAACGAACAAAAATATGTGTTCTTCTTCATTTCGACGATTTTATAGCTTTTTCCAAAATCTCGTTGAATCTTCTCTTTGATTTATGGAGATCAATCCTTCGCCGCCGCTCCCTCCGTCTCCGAAACAGTGGTTCTCAAGAACGCAGATCTTCCAGATCCGTTGCGTCTCGGCTTCTGATTAGTTGCAGTTTGATTTCTCTCCGCCTCCCATCGATCATGATCTCCTTGTAAGATTTCTTCTTTGTGGCTCCTGAAATAACAACAATATCTCCAGTATAAAACAGTATTGGAAGTCATTGCTGAAAGGATTTTTGAGAAATGGATTTCTGATTTTTGTTTTTGTTTATGGGACTTGTGAATGTGAAGGACAATTAGTGTTTCTGGAGGAAAAGTTTCAGAAGATGGTGTTATAAGGAGACTTAACATGGTTGAGATCAGGAAGAATAAGAGGGAGGACAATTTGCGGAAGAAGAGACGCAAGAGGCTCTCGGTCGCAGCACAATCAGGACAAGATCTTTCTTCAGTGAAGCGTCTTCATTTGGTCGTCCTCTGTTTTGTGCTTGGTCTGATGTTTCAGAATCGTTAATGGTGGTAAGTTGATATAATCTTGATGCCATATTCAAGTTCATGCAACTTTCTCTGCTACCGCAAAGGTTACATGTCTGTCATGAATAAACACATTCACTTAGAATTTTTCACTGATAGTGGTTCAGATTATGGAACTCAGAGCAGCCATAATAGAATCAAATGATTCAAATGCGCTAAACCATATTCGAACCAGTGTTTCAGTTTATATTTTACGTGTTTTTGATAAAGGTTTGTTTCAGATTTGTAAATGCAGGTCTCCACATTGAGATACATACCTTTTAAACCAACAGTTCTCACTTATTGGCTTATGAATGGTGCAGCGATCAATATCAGCAATATATTGACTGGGAAATGCTTAGCTAAGATAACACCAAACAGTGGACCTCCAAAAGAAGATGAGAGTAGTCGCACTTGTTTAGGGAAGAACTCAAAGCAAAGAAGAAACGCTGTTGCTGAAGCTTTATTCTAGGACGTATACACAAGAAACAGGTTCATGTGTGGTCTAATTGATTTCACATCACATCATCAGCGTTAGCCATTATGAATTTTTGGCTGTATTTGAGATGTTATCTTGAATAGTTTGATAATGTTAACAATTTTATGATGAAAAAAAAAATATGATTTTGCATAACTTGTATTATGAAAGCGTTGTAAATACATTACAATAGTCAAAAAATCCTATGAACAACTACAACATAATTATTTGTATCAAGGTACAACTACAAAAACGCTAAAATCGCAAAAGGACAACTATTAAGAATTTTGGACAATTGGACACTTAAGTACAATTGGACAACTATGTACCTAAGTGTCCAGTTGTCCAAATTCTTCATAGTTATCCTTTGGAGACAAAAAAATATGTGCGCAGTCAAAATAACATGTGTGTCGTAAGTCGTCAATTTTGAACATAGTTGTCCATACTTGTCCAGTTGTCCAAAATTTTTCTTTATATGTTTAATTAAATTAATTATTAATTTTTTTAAAAAAAAATTAGCAGTTGCATAAAGTTGTCCTTACTTGGCCAGTTGTCCCTTGTTTATTCACATCCACTAAGCTAAAGAACACGTGCCCCAACAAAAATAGACACGTGCGCAGTCAAAGTACCACGTGCGCCGTCAATTTTGTACATAGTTGTACCCAATTGTCCAGTTGTCCAAAATTCTTCATAGTTGTCCTTTGGCGATTTTAGCATTTTTCCAGTTGTCTTTTAATATAAATTATTATTTTGTAGTTGTCCACATGATTTTCGACTATTGCAGTTCATTTACAAGGTTTTCATGACACAAATTATGCAAAATCATAAATTTGCATCTTTTCCATCAAAAGATTGTTAACATTATGAAAGTCTTCCTTGTATCATAAGGGATGTTTGATGTGAAATCAATAATATGTATTAGGAAAATGAAATTTTCATTTTATCCATGTTATTAATATTGTTCCTTATACTTTAAGACATGTTTGTATTTCTTAAGTATATACTTTCTTTATATATTTAATTTAGTTTAAGAATTATTATTTTTTTAAATTAATGAGTTGCATATAGTTGTCCTTACTTGTCCAGTTGTCCTTTGCTTATTCACATCCACGAAGCTAAGCCCCGACAAAAATAGACATGTGCGCAGTCAAAGTGTCACGTGCGCCGTTAATTTTGTACATAGTTGTACCCAATTGTCCAGTTGTCCAAAATTCTTCATAGTTGTCCTTTGGCGATTTTAGCATTTTTCCAGTTGTCCCTTGATATAAATTATTATTTTGTAGTTGTCCACATGATTTTTGACTACTATAGTCCATTTACAACATTTTCATACTACAATTTATGTAAAATCATAATTTTGCATCTTTTCCACCATAAAATTGTTAACATTATCAAAGTCTTCTTTGTATCATAAAAGGTGTTTGATGTCAAACCAATAATATGTATTAGAAAAATGATTATTTCATATTATCCATCTTTTTAATTTTATTCCTTATAGTTTTTAATCTTTTTGCATTTTTAACTGAATGCTTTCTTTTGATTCTTATAATTTTATTATTATTATTTTCTAATTAAAGAATTACATATAGTTGTACAAGTATCCAGTTGTACCTTGTTAATTTCTATCCTGAAAGCATTTTCAGCCAAAAATAAAATCCTCTATACTAGATTGACTTTCCTAAGTGTACAGATGTCTGTCAAATTAAGAAACATGTGCACCTATGTATATAGTCAATTTTTGTACATAGTTGTACCTAATTGTCCAGTTGTCTGAAAATTTAATAGTTGTTCTTTTGAGATTTTAGCGTTTACATTGATTTTCAACTATTAATTTTCAGTTAAGAGGTTTTCATATTACAAGTTATGTAAAATCATATATTTTGTCTCTTTTGTTTCATAACATGATTAACAATATAATATAGATGAAATAAGTTATATGCTCTAAATATGAGATAGTAAATGATATAACATAGATGAAATTTCTTGAAATCCATTGAAATGTTTGTGTGGTTGATGCTCATTATCTCTTGAAAATAGAATAAAAGAATTCTCAATTAGCAATTATTCAAGTTGTTTTAGTTATACATATTTTTACTAGTTGTTATCTATCTCATAGTTGTATCATTTGTACTAGTTGTCTTCTATTTCTTAGTTGTACCATTTATACCAGTTGTCTTTTATCTCTTAGTTGTATCATTTGCACTAGTTGTCCTTTTCTGTAGATTTGGTGATGAACTCGGGTTCTAATTCTAATCTACCTAAAAATCACAGAGATTCAACAACTAAACTCCATAATTTATGGACCATAAATTACCAATGCAAAAACCTAATAATCACATAAAACTTGGTTACCAATCCAATTTGCATACTGAAACAAATAATTTTCACAAATCCAATACCTAAATTGTGAAATCCCTAAATCCCTAAATAAGAACAAATCATCCAGATTTAAAGCTTCAACAATGGTAGAGGAGAAAAGAGATAAGAACAAGAAATTAATTGCAGAAGAAGAGGAAAAGGAGACGAAGACAAGGATTCGACGAAAAAGATGGATTTAGCTGGTTTTCAGATTCATTGACAACAAACTATCGGGAAACAAAATGAGCTCAAGAAAAAAAACCAGAAATTTAAAAAATTAATTATTAGTGTCAATTAAAATTATTTAAACAATAACAAATTTGGACAATTTCACAAATGCCACAAGAATCTTTCATTAAGGGTAAAATTGGGAATATACATAATTTATCGCATCCAACTCAGTTATGACACCTAAGATTTTTCTTTTCCAAATTATGGCATTTTGGCCATTGATTCAGTAACTTTTGATCATTACTTTTAATATTCAGCTTCCTTTATAACAAGAACACTTTTCCACAAAATGAGAATCTGAGAAGTTCTCCAAATCTCCAATTTCTCATATCAAAATGTTAGCCAAAAATACAATGAGCAGCAGGACAAAGAACTCCAGCTCCAGGAAGAGAAGCTTGAGCAAGAACATGCAGGAACTTGCAGCACGAAAAACATCTGCCAAAGAGCATCTATACAGTGACCCCATCAAGACTTTCAGCGATTTAAGTGCTCAAGTTTCAACCTACAGAAGTAGATCCACGAAGTTCCTTTGCTTTCACATCCGGTGACTCACATTTGCCGAACGAAAACACCTTTTTATGCTGCCAGGTGCTCCGGAAATATAACTGTGGAAAACAAAAAGCATACCGCCTACATCAGTTGATTTCCTGAAAACACAAAAGAAATAATATATTCGAGTTTCAAGAACAGTTATGCATTGACTGAATACATAAACAACAGGGCATTTGGTCTAGTGGTATGATTCTCGCTTTGGGTGCGAGAGGTCCCGAGTTCGATTCTCGGAATGCCCCCGTTGACTTTTTGTAAAGGAAATGCTCTAAATGCCAGCTAAAAAGTTTCTTAGACCTTGTTTTAACCACCGATTCTTCGCAGACCTTGTTCAAACTACAGACCACAACTCTCACTTTCATTTCAGAAACTGCCTTACAATTTTATTATTAGTGCATAATGCAAAGAAAAATATATAAAAACATACCACTGTTTCACGTCCAATATCAATGGACAAGTCTTTCTAACTAGTAAATTTCATATAGTAAAGACCGTAACCTTTTGTAAGCTGCCAAAATTTTCAAGATTGAGCTGCAGAAACAGCAGCACAGGAATCATGATTAAGCATCTAAAGAGGCAAATGTTCTCGTAAAGAAAACAGAATGCAAGTAGAATGCATCAACATAACAACATATAAAGACAGGGCATTTGGTCTAGTGGTATGGTTCTCGCTTTGGGTGCGAGAGGTCCCGAGTTCGATTCTCGGAATGCCCCCTTTGACTTTTTTTGGAAGTCTATTTCAAATGCCAGCTGATAAACCATCATAGAACAAACCTATTTTCTTTAGTGAATGAGTTCTCACATGCATTTCCCTTCAACTTTTAGAAAGGGCATTTCAGAAAACAATTTCCTATCACTAGGTATAAGCTGCTGAAATGCTAGTACTAGAATAAGAATCACAAATAGAATGCGAATCACAGTGTACCTTAGCTTTCACGTCCGCTGACTCACATGTGCAGCAAGAACACTTTCTGGATAGTGGATTAATCGCAGAACATCGCTAGCTGAATGCTGCCAATTTCTCTAAGAGTCAACTGCAGAAAGTGAAAAGAACAAAGCCTAAAACCGATGTCTATTTTTCAAGAACAGTTATGCACTGAATGAGTTAATCAACAAAAGGGCATTTGGTCTAGTGGTATGATTCTCGCTTTGGGTGCGAGAGGTCCCGAGTTCGATTCTCGGAATGCCCCATTGACCTTTTTCTTAATAAATGAATTCATACCCGAATGAACTATCTATCCAAAGAGGGTTATTTTATTTTATTTTTTTCTGGCTCAATTGCCAAACAAACATACCAAATGCAGTTTCAAAGAAAAGGGTAAGAAACAGGAATCGGCTTTTAGACAGTGTAAAAACAGAGCTAACGAAAATTTCCAGTTTGAGAGAGCAGCAAATGATATCTCAATGTAATCTTATTAGTCAATAGCCAAGAATCAATGGTCTAATGATTGATGTATAAAGCCCATTGAAAAAAAGTATGACAAGAGGACTATCCTTTTTCACTGAAGTTTTCCCATCCAGGGTACATTGCAAAGCAGAATTTCAACTTCTAAGGAAAATGCAAGTGATCATATCAATGAAAGTTCAGTTGAAAGAAATCTGATCGAATAGATCTAGAAACATCCTATTCAGAATACAACATTTAGAAAAAGTCTACTAAGAGAACGAGATCACAACAAGACCAGATATGGTGATCTTCAACGATTAAACAAAATTTTATAAAAACAGGGCATTTGGTCTAGTGGTATGATTCTCGCTTTGGGTGCGAGAGGTCCCGAGTTCGATTCTCCGAATGCCCCCATTGACTTTTTGTAAAACATACAAATATTCCAAATGACAGCTTAAAAATGTTCAGAATATCAATCTTGATTTAATCCTAGATTTTTAATAGACGAACAACTGCAGACCATATGTTTATTCCAGCAAGAAGGAAAGAAAATCTAAACAACCTTAAGTTTCATTAGTTAGTGCATAATGCAAAGAAAAAGAGAAATATACCGCTGTTTTGCGTCCAATCTACACGTCCTTTTAACCAGTAAACGTCACAATCTGTGAGCTGCCAGATTCATCAAGATTGAGCTGCAGAAACAGCACAAGAATAGTGATGTGACAAAACATCTAACAGGAAAGCAAAGGGAAGCAACAGTTATCGTAAAGGAAGGAGAGAATGCAAATAGATGGCATTAAGTGAACAACATGAAAAACAGGGCATTTGGTCTAGTGGTATGATTCTCGCTTTGGGTGCGAGAGGTCCCGAGTTCGATTCTCGGAATGCCCCCATTGACTTTTTATTGACAATATATGGCCTAGATGCCAGCTTATAATTACTGCACATGAATTTGTTTTTGGTTCTGTGTTTCCACAGACCACATTCAGCATTTCAACAATGAGTTTTAAACTAAAATTTTACCAAGATAAAATTACATACAATAGCATGCCAAGACTTTTAGTGCTACTACGTGCTAAAGTCAACTGATGGAACTAGATCTATAAAACAGCTTTCAACTTGGATTTGCTTGAAAAATAAAAAAAATATATTACAACAACAGCTTCAAGCATCAGAGATAAAAGAGATTGAAAATGCTACACTTAAAATTTCCAACTTTTTAAAGTCTAACACCTATAGTAGAAAAAAGTTTTGGGCGTAATGAAAGACAGTGAAGTAGGAAGTTTTCTTCTCAGAAAAGGATTGAAAACACCAAAAAATATGATTGAACTGAATTGTATTAACAACAGGGCATTTGGTCTAGTGGCATGATTCTCGCTTTGGGTGCGAGAGGTCCCGAGTTCGATTGTCGGAATGCCCCATTGACTTTTTAAAGTAGAATATCTAAATCTAAGCATTTAATTTCTTAGAGAATCAGATCTTCAATTAGTCCCAGTGTTATCACTGATCTTGTTCCAAGTGAGGATCACAGATTACACTTTCATTTCAGCAAGAAAATAGTTGAAACAGAGTACCTTTTTATACCGCTGCTTCACGTACAGTCAAATATTTCTAACCAGTTATCGTCATAAAGGGAGGACCGTCATGTTTTGTATGCTATAGGGAGGACTGTCATGTTGTGTAAGCTGCCGGAATAAAAAAAGAATGAGCTGAAAAACAAGAAGATTGTGTTCAAGCATCATAACAAAAGTTAAGGGAGGCAACAATTCTCTTCTAGAAAGGAGAGAATGCAAAGAGAAGGCTTTAACTGAACAACATAAGAAACAGGGCATTTGGTCTAGTGGTATGATTCTCGCTTTGGGTGCGAGAGGTCCCGAGTTCGATTCTCGGAATGCCCCTTTGACTTTTTGTAAAATATATGTTCTAAATGCCAGCTAAGCCATATTGCATACAAATTTGTATTGCTGCCGGCTTGTCACAGATCACATTCATCAGTTCAATGATTATCTACGCAAAAGTCTACCAATATTAGTTTACAAACAATCCACCAGAAAGTTAACTGATAGAATTTCTGACAGTTTAAATAACAGCTTCAAGAATCATAAAAAGAATAGATTGAGTTTATGCTAACTGTCAGTTTGCGGATTAAATCAAGAACGATCCCCTACAGGAAAAGGCTTGGGTGTACATTTAGATAGAAAACTCATTCCCTTATCAACAAAAGATCGTGAACACCTAACAGAATGACTGAACTGAATTAAAAAACAACAGGGCATTTGGTCTAGTGGTATGATTCTCGCTTTGGGTGCGAGAGGTCCCGAGTTCGATTCTCGGAATGCCCCTCAGACATTTTTTTAGTAGATGGTCTAAATTCCAGCACGAAGTTTCTAAGAATATCAGGTCTTGATTCTAGTCCTATCATTTTCACAGATTTTGTTCGAACAGAGGGCCATATAATAATTACCCTTTCAACTTTGAGCTAGAGGAAAAAAATACTTTAAAATTCATAAAGTGCTAAATGCAAAGTAAACGAAGATCATACCGCTGTTTCCCGTCCAGTCAATCAATCTCTTTGATTAGTAAACTTCATATAGGGCAGATCATCATGTTTTGAAGGCCGCCGAATTCACAAAGAATAAGCTGCAGAAATAACAAACCAATTGTGATTTAGTATCTAATGAAAAAGCAAAGAGAAGCAAACAAATCTATAAAAGAAAAGAGAGAATGCTAATAGAAGCCGTTAACGGAACAACATAATAAAAACAGGGCATTTGGTCTAGTGGTATGATTCTCGCTTTGGGTGCGAGAGGTCCCGAGTTCGATTCTCGGAATGCCCCCATTGACTTTTTGTAAAGTATATGTTCAGCAGTAAATTTCTTAGAGATTCAGCTCTTTCTTTTAGTCCTATGATCCAGTGGGAACTATAACATTATGACTTATGAATTCTTCCTTTGGTGCTCAGATATTTCTCAGGCTAGGTTCAAGAACTCAACAGCATTATCAAAATGCAGTACAAGCCAACAGAAAAGATGACATGTATCTTGATATCAACAGCAGTTTGTCTAGAACATATATATAAAAAAATATATGTATTTGATCTACTGGTATGATTCTAGCTTTTGGTAGGGAGTTTTGATTGTCAAATGCCCATTTCAGAAGTATAAGATCTAAACACCAGCTCAGAATTACTATAATGTAGTCTAGCAAAATGGATGCAAGAGGTAAGAATGCTCATTCAATGAGCGAGTATGAAGCGTAGGCTCTAGTAGCCAGATACACAAAACGATAATTAAGGCCTTATTTTAAGCTTAGCAGATGCAAGCACTGAACAACTAACACTTCTTAGCACAGAGGAGCAATAAAGCAGAATGTGAAGCAACAATGAAATGGATAAAGCAAGTACTTACCCGCTGGCCACGGAATATCACTTTTTATGTAAGATTCTCCAAATTCCACGTAATTCTTCAATCATCTAACATTTCAGATGGATTCGCTGTGATCGAAGAAAGCTTGTCTAAGAATTTCGTCGAACAAGTGGTGGGCGTACCTAATCAAGCAGCATATCAACCCGAAAAACGATTAATCCGATGATAACGCTCTAAGCCCTGATCGGAAGCTCGACGAACACGAGCGTGAATCTTCATCGGCGGATTATGCCGTAACTCATAAGTCATAACGATGACGACGAGCGAGAGAAAAGTGAGAAGAATCTCAAACTTGACGTTAAACTTGTTTAGGTTAACAAATTCCGGTTAATGCACGAAGGACTAGAATTGGGGTTGCCAGATCCGGTTTCACCGACTCAAAACCGGTTTCGCCGATTCATATCGAACCAAAAGAGAGGTGTGGTGTGGACCGTGAGGTGGATTAGTTTAATTTTGCATAACTAACCAATTCTAGTGTTTTATGGTTTAAACCAAACTAAACCATAAAGAGAAGGCTTACATGCATTAACTGCAACTACCTCTACACCAAACTCGAATAGACCCGAGTCACCCGACCCTTATTAGGATTAATACATATATATATATATATACATATATATATATATATATATACACAAACACAATGCATTGGATGGAATCTTTGAAATCGTAGCAACAAGTCTTTGCAAAGGAGAGCTAGTATTGGGTTTGGACTTTGGAGGAGGGATTGTTTATCTTACCTTCAAACCTCTTCAATGAGGTTTTTCTTCCATATCCATAGTTGTATTTTTACAAGTCCATCATTATAACACCATTACTTATATTGTTATTAAAGTTGAGGATGTATAATGAATCAACCTTTGCTACATAATTTACAGAGTTATATAGCAAGTATGATTGGATGCCAAGGATGTGGTACCACTTTGATGTTTCCTTGAGAGAAGCCAAGTGATGTTGCATGGCAAATCAAGCCACGTGGTACTCGAGTGCTTCTTCCTACGAGACCAGTGAGTAGCTCGAAAGAGAAGAGACCCAAGAAGAAGACATGACTTTCACATCAAATAAGTGCATCATTCTGCCTTATGAACTAGAGAAACAAGCACAGAAGTTGTTACAAACATGAACTTAAAAACAAAATATCTTTCTCTACTTTCTCCTCTTTTAACAAAAACCACAGACACTTTTTGTTTTAAGACTCAAATAATTTTATTTCTGGCGTCCTCAAGCTTCTTCAAAATCTCTGCAGGTGTGCGATCCAACTCGTCGGCTATCTTCCTCTGCATATCCATAGGAAGCGTCGGAAACTGCTCGCAGAGATCTCCATCAATCACGTCCTGTTTACATAGCAAGAAGATGCAAATATAAATTTGTCATTCAAAAATCAAAAGATACAATACCACTTTGGATGAGAAAAATGGGTTTTGGATTACCTTGACCGGAAAGTAAGCAGATCTGTAAGCCATGTGGTCTCTCCCGCAGAGAGGAGGATGCTCCTGCCTCATATGCATTTCCAGATGAGAAAAGAAATCGACATCATCACGTGATGTGAATGCGTGCAATGCTCCAATGCTTCCCATCACTGTTCCATACATTATGGATTCTGATCCTCCCGGTATCATCGAAGCTTTCTGCAAACACGTCACAACGTCCCCAACGTGGAACTGCACAATCTCATCCACTTTGTTTGGTGCTCCATTCAGCTTTCCTTGCTCCCATTTGATTTTCCCGCCTGTTGGGTCTTCTTCTATCTCCTCCGATATATCCTGAGGCAACCGCACGAAGTACACGTTCCCAAATTTATCTGCACCTGCCATTGTGTCGAAATCCACATGGTGCGATGCTGTCAACCATCTCGGCACGCAATCATCCGCAAATATGTATAGCTGGTTTTCATCGCGTCTGTACTTGCAGTAGTGGAAAGACTGCAACACAGGATAATGAAAAGATCACTTATTTCAAGAACAGCACAAATATAATAACGAAAAAAAAAGGTGCTTCTATATATCTACAACTTACCTCCTGAATGTCACCAACGTAGATACGGTCACGGTAAGTCTGGATAGAGATAATGGTGTTTGGAAAAAGCTTGTTTTCACATTTCCTAAGCAGTCTCTTTTTCCCCAAATCATACAATCTGAGGACAGGCCCGATTCCTGCCAACAGTCTTCCCTGGAACTGGCATAGAGCAAGAGGAACGCCTTCTACTTGTGTCTTATGAAGAAGCTCAAGAGATTTCCCATCCTCCACAAACCTATATATATGTATGAACCCAGCCACTAGACTCTTCTTGGGCCAGAACTGCATCCCCTTGACCGTACCAACAGCCAACAGAGTACCATACTCTTTATCATGGAAATTCACCGTACAGACACTGTATGCAGCTTCGTTGTCCTGAAGTTCAAGCAGACAAGTTGTTGAGGCTGTCTTAGGGTCAAGAACTCTGATGCAAGAAACCCACTTCTCTGACACTGCTTTTGGATAACCATACTGCTCATCGGAAAGTGGGTCTTCCTTGTCTTCATCATCCGCACCATTCTCCATCTGATCTGCATTGCCATTACCATTTTCTCCCACTCCACCAGCCTCGAAGAATTCCTTTCTCGCTGCTTCACGCTCTTCTGCGGTGAATGCTCCCTGGTCACTCTCGATAATAACCAACAGCTTCCGCTTGGGATGTACCACAAACTTTCTAGGCGTGTACCTCAGAGGAACCACAGTTTCATTGAACGTTTCGCCAAGGCGATCAAACATGAAGATTCTCAGAGCATCCCCAGCGACAGAGACAACACCTTCAGCACACTGATCCGATGAAAAGGGTGCAGCAAATTCCAAAGTCTCATAAGAAAGAGGCGTCAAGTGGAAGTGTCCCCGGTGAATATAACCAAGCCAAGGCCGGCTAGACAAACACAGCATTGCAGACCGACCTCTCACACCAATGGAGAACAACTTGGGAGGCTTCAGCCCCAAGAATCGAGAACGGGAATCAGAAAGCTGACCAGTCACCATATCCACCACTGTCCTGAATAGAACACCGTTCTGCAAACCAGAGTTGAGGAAGAGACTAGCCGGGTGATCAGCACCGTCCTCCCCACCAATCGATGCCTGAACTTCGAGGAATAGCAGAGACTCTGGAGCTGAAGAGACACTCTGCACGCTAAGAATCTGCAGACAGTCATCGGGATCCAGAGATAGAATGCGCACAGTGTTATCGTAAGATCCCACTGCAAGAAAGCGAGATCTTTGTCTTCCTTCAGGAACTGGCGCAATATCCAGGCAAGCAACATCTCCAGACATCTCATGTTTCTCAACCTCCATCAGCTGACCAGTCATATCTGCCTCAAAGTATATAAGCTCTCCGCCACTCAATGCAATGACCACTTGAAGCCTATTATACCCAACTTTAACAATAGACCTCTTGCCAGGAGTTCTCCATTCATTAATACGCCCATCTTCTCTAATGTGGCGGATACCATTGGGATGAACTTGCATGAGAGAATCATCACCGATCAGAGAGACAGCCAGGGAAGGGGTAGTATCAAGGAACCCACTGTCATTAACTTCTTCGACTGTTTCACCAATTGAAAGAACCAGAGTAGCATTGGTAAAAGAGACAACGATATATGCATCAAACTCATCACTCACATTCTTTTTCACCGTCCACACAGCACTTGGCTGACCTGGAAGCTGAGAGACGGCCATCTCGCTGATGGCCAAACCAGGTCTCAATATCCTTAAGGAGGAACGTGGACCCCTTCCACAAAGTGAAAAGATCTGAGGGGTCTCTTCCTCAAAAAGGTTAAGGATTTTCATGTCCATGAGCGGCATCAGACTCTCGACTTGGTCAATCCTTACAAGGTTCTTAAGTCGTCTAGGCTGGAAAAAGACGGGCTGGAATCCTTCTTCGGTCTCCATCAGACTAGAAGACGAAGACTCTACATCAGGTTCCTCCCCTATCGCCTGAAACTGATACAACCCGTGGTTCCCGAATTCTGAAGCAGCAAAAAGAAATCCCAACTTCAACACACATATAGACGCAGCGACAGGGATTGTGTCAAAATATTTGATCTTCAACTCCGAGACATGATCGCCATCATGGTCCAGAGTAACCTTGAAAACATCCCCATACTCAGTCTGAATAAGAAAGAAAAACATGGTTTTTTGCTTGTGCATGGCAGCAGAAACCACCAAAACTCCTCGTTCAGCAGGCAAATCAGTTCGTCTAGGAATCACAGCTCTCACATCTGGATGACCCTGATTCTTATAAATAACAAAATTCTCAGCGCAAACCAAAACTCCACTCGGGCCATCAGCTCCTCCAGGAACAGTAACAAGCATGTTGGCACCATTGTCAACCGGTTCTGACCACTTTCTAGAAACATGGTTGAGCCCCAAATCGAGCTCATAGAAAGTCAAGTGCTTCTGAGCCTCACTTGCTGCCTGACCAGTGGGATCCTGATCTGCCTCAGAGTAATCAAGCTCAATGGCTGCAAATATCGGGTTGTCAAAGCCACAGTCCACACCACAGACAGAATAGCAAATAGTATGAGACTTGTGAGCCTCCAAGGGAGAAGAAATCGTTAACCTAGCAGAAGTATCTCTGTTCAAGACATAAACCAATTTCTGCTTCTCGCAAGCTCCCACCATTACTGCTCTACCTTTGGGATCAACAGCCAAATACTGCCCAGGCACGATTCTTCGGCAGCCTGACTTCCCAAAAGTCTCTTGATGAACTTTATCGAACACATTCTTCTCCTTGTTGTACTCAAGTATAACAATCCTACCCGAATCTGAGCCAACCACGATATAATCCTTCTGCGCACCAGTCAATCTAAACTGAGCTAAGGATCTAATGGCACCAAATACTTCCACAGAGTGAATCGTCTCGATCTTACCGTTCTCGTCCGTACGGAGAAGATCGAGAATCTTGCCGCGAGCAACTGCAATCTCCTGTGTTTTACCGCCGGAGAAGTTTCCGTTGATGGCGCATATGATTCCGGTCGCCTGTTGCAGAGTAAGACTGTATAGATACATCTCTGAGCTAAGAACAGCAGGAAGAGCTAGGGTTTAGGAGAAGCAGGAAAGTGGAGGATAGGTTTTTGCTGGAGAAGAGAAGAGAAAAAGATTTAGGGATTTCGATTTAGGTGAGCCTAGCCATCAAATAACCCGGCCGAGAACAGCAGGACGAGCTAGGGTTTAGGAGAAGCCGGAAACCGTAGGATAGCTTTTTTGCTGCAAAAGAGAAGGAGAAACAAATTTTAAGGGATTTCCACTCTCCACTTTCCAATTTTGCTGTCACCGCCGGCGATTCAATAATGGGCCTAATTTTTAAGTAATTTAACAAAACTGGCCCAAAGATCTCAATCTAGGGCCATATATAGAAACAATGACAAAAATGTGAGACATTCTCAAATCTTAATTAATACACTCATAATCATAGTAAATTCTCATATCATCATCATACACCATACAAATTCTCATATCATCATATACCATACAAATTCTCATATCATCGTACAGCATACAATATCTCATATCATCCACTCTTTAACAAAAAATTAAAAGAAATAATTGCAGTTCGAGGAAATAGCAAAGACTTAATTAGTTATACTCAAAACAGAATCTTGAGTAACTCAAATTTTGATTCATTGTTACAAGCCTTCATTTGAAGAGGATTGATTCTTGTTTCCATCACGATGTCGTTGAACACAATCTCTGACTTCTCCAAAGGGCTCCCCAAAAAGAAGACTATGCCATATTTCTACATACAATTTTCAAAGTCTTGTCATTAGACGAAGCCACCACATAAGCTCCTTTATCATCTTTCCATGCAATACTATGAAGCTACCCTGAATTTTTTTCTATGCCATGCGCTCACATAACGTTGCTGCTGCTTACAACTCCAGGGCCCCACAAGTAAGAGCTGCTCTTAGAGTCATTAGGCTGTTTCTCCCGTTCACGTTTACTGAAAGTTATATATCATTGCGTTTAGATCTCCTGCTTCAGTTCTTTGAACTCTTGTATATTGTAATGATTTCCGAGATTAAGTGCTGAAATCTAACTAAGCGAACTGGTGGAACACCACATCCAATGACTTTAATCCCTTCAACCAAAAACATCTAACTTCTGCAGATTCAAACATATCAAATACAGTTTCAGGAAAAGGATAAGAGATCAGGAGTCAGCTTTTAGACAGTCTAACGCCGAAAACTAGAACTAAAGTAATCTTCCAGTTTGAGAGCAGTAAGTGATCTTTTAAAGTATTCTTATTAGTCAAGAATTTGGTATAGCAGAATGATCCTAAAAAGCAAAGATCATAATGTATCGAACTACGTGAGGCTCTAATGACAAGGGGACTATCCTCTCCTAGTCATTTTCTCGGTAAATTTTTTCCTACCAGAGTACACTGCAAACCAGAATTAAACTTTGTAAAGAAAATGCAAGTGACTCATATCATTGGAAGTTAATTTCAAAAAAATCCGATAGAACAAATCTAGGAACAATTGTATTCAGACTAAAACATTTAGAAAAAGTCAGCTAAGAGGACGAGATGACAATATGACCAAATATGGTGATCTCCAACGTTTTAAATACAGGGCATTTGGTCTAGTGGTATGATTCTCGCTTTGGGTGCGAGAGGTCCCGAGTTCGATTCTCGGAATGCCCCCATTGACTTTTTGTAAAACATAAATATAATTCAAATGCCAGCTTAAAAATGTTCAGACTATCAATCTTGATTCAATCCTCGATTGTTAATAGATGAACAACAGCAGACCATATGTTTCTCTTTTATTCCAGCAAGAAGGAAAGAAAATCTAAACAACCTTAAGTTTCATTAGTTAGTGCATGATGCAACGAAAAAGAGAAACATACCTGTTTTGCGTCCAATCTACAAGTCTTTTTAACCAGTAAACGTCACAATTTAGGAGCTGCCAGATTCATCAAGATTGAGCTGCAGAAACAGCACAAGAATAGTGATGTGACAAAACATCTAACAGGAAAGCAAAGGGAAGCAACAGTTATCGAAAGGAAGGAGAGAATGCAAATAGATGACATTAAGTGAACAACATGAAAAACAGGGCTTTTGGTCTAGTGGTATGATTCTCGCTTTGGGTGCGAGAGGTCCCGAGTTCGATTCTCGGAATGCCCCCTTGGTTTTTATATATGGCCTAGATGCCAGCTAATAGTTATTGCATATGAATTTGTTTTTGGTTCTGTGTTTCCACAGATCTCATTCAGCATTTCAACAATGATTTAAACAAAACTTCACCAAGATTAAATTACAAACAATACCATGCAAGACTTATAGTACTACTACGCGCTAAAAGTCAACTGATGAAACTAGATTTATAAAACAGCTTTCAACTTTGATTTGCTTGACAAATAAAACAAATATTACAACAACTGCTTCAAGCATCAGAGATAAAAGAGATTGACAATGCTACACTGAAAATTTTCAACTTTTCTAAGACTAACCCCTATAATAGAACAAAGATTTGGGCGTAATGAAAGACAGTGAAGTAGGAATTTCTCTTCTCAGCAAAGAATTGTAAAACAAAATGATAGAACTGAATTGTATTAACCACAGGGCATTTGGTCTAGTGGTATGATTCTCGCTTTGGGTGCGAGAGGTCCCGAGTTCGATTCTCGGAATGCCCCTTTGACTTTTTTAAAAGTACATGTTCTAAAAAGAACAATGTCTCTATATA